ATTTCAAAGATGCTTCCATTGCTCTTACTTGGGTTGAAATCCCTTGATAATCAGCCAGCCATACAGCTGCTGCTATATTGTGACATTAGTGAGCAGATTTGATTCAGAACCTGTATAGTTGTAAGTACAATAAAATACTTATGGATTTATCCTAGTTCAAAGCAGAAGCTTATGCTCATTAATGCAATCAATGTAAAATCTCATTATGACTCTGGGTATAGATTGTACTGTGTGATTTACCACCCATCAGGTGTTGAATTGCTAAGAGACTTCATATTCAAACTGATCAAGTCAAATCATCTAAGTCCACTTCACTTCCTCAGCAGTTTCCCATCATCATTCCGATTTTTTTTCTTGCAGGATTCCTTGCACATACCGGCAACTCATTTTGAATGAGTCTGCTCCATCATTGCCAATAGCAATGAAGCAAGCAGCAAAATAGCCAGTCAACAAAAGCTGTGAATATCAAATGGGTTAAAGAGAGCAACTCGACCTTGAATCCATTTTGTCATTGAAATTTCAGTAACTTTAGTAATATGACACAAAAGCTTTAACCTGTCTACCCATTCCCTGCTCTTCTAAGAACTGTGAACAAGTGCTTGGTACAGGCTTATTGCTTTTTGCTAGTTCGGGTTAGGAATTGCTCTTCAGCCAGTTTTTACAATAAAATGGCTGCTGCCTGAAAACACTGAGTAGAATATAGTATCTGGTGCTAAGAACTCCTCATCACCACTCTGGCTACTTGATGTCCTCCAGACTGAGGAAAATTTTCCACTGTTATTCCATTACATCTTCCTTGTATTAGTAATTGCGGGAGCAAGCTGCCTCTGTATCTCAAATCTCATATGGAAAACAGAACAGTCCACCATGTCGATTATATGAGTTCTTTTCTTCAGAGACCAGGATGGCACAAGGTTCCTTCAATTTAAACATGACGAAATTGGACACATTCCAGACCCTCAGAGTCTTCCACACTACTAAGGCTACCGTTCATGTGATGCATTAGTTAACGCATCCAGGAAAATCTACTTACACAGTGTTGTACTGCCTTTAGTTTAACATATTGGTCTGAGTTAATTTAACTTGTTTGTTGTGACCTTCTATCAACGACGAACAGGCTAGAAAAGGAGAAAATTGTTAACTTAAAATTCTGCACTTCTGAAATTATGAGGAAATCCAATCCTCCTTCTCTCCCATACAAGACTGTGGTGTCCCAAGACAGACAGTGAGAATCCTACCTTAATGAGTCTTTAAAGAAATGTCAGGGACTTGATGAAACAAATCTGAGAACTAGAGAAAAAGCCAAAAGCCAGATCAAACAATATCAACAAGGAAAATGAAAGCAGAGATCCAATGATGCCTCATGTGTCTGTGGACTCCATACAGAATAACCAATATGGTACCTATTACCCCCACTGGGGATTGGAACTAGATGATCTTTAAGGTCTCTTCCAACCCAAACCATTCTATGATGCTACTCACCCAAAATTTCCGTTGTCTAATAAAAAAGATTACAGACTTTTTTATTGAAGTCTGGTACAGATAAAAAGCTCAATGTCAAACAGTACCTGCAACAAATACACAGGTCTATCACACATCAATTCTCAGTTCAAGAACACAATGCAGTTCCTAAGGTCTGTAAAATCTTTAATAAAACTCTTCTTCCTGCTCAGAAACTTGATCCTTATTGACTTACACTCTGAACACCTTCCTATAGCTCACCCCAGCTAGTTTTTATTGAAATTTTAAGAGCATTACATTCCCCCACCAAATAAATAATTAAGCCGTAATTTCATAATGAGGACTTGGACAGTATCATCATGGCACAAACAAGGGCAGGTTGGATACCCAAGTTAGTTAAAGAATACTTGAGAATAACTTAATGTAACAGAATGCTAACATTTGCCATCTATGACCAGACCTTATGCTGCATTGACACAGCAGCTCTTCTGGAGCTAGACCACTATTACTAACATAATACTCCATGAGAGATAAAGCCCAGGTGCCTGTGTCTAAAATTCAGACATCTAGCTAACTGAACATACACGGCATGCAGCTTAAATGCATCTTACATTGTTGCAGTGTAACAGCTTTCTACAGGCCAGCACATAAAATCTTAGCTGCACATGCAATCTTTCCTGCCCCATGCTAAACATCATTTATTACGGACTCATGCTACCCAATCATTGTATCTTAGTGCCATGCAATCCAGAAAGCCAGACTGTTACTGTCCAGACTATCTGAAATGTCTGAGAGAAGTGAAGTAAACTCTGATACAGCAAGCACATGAAAACATTGCTGTGTCCAGAAATGCTTTTCTGACCTTGCATAGTGAGAGGTGGCAGGGCAATACAGATTACAGGTGAAGCTACCCCTGCTTCATTAATTCCCTGGGACAGCAGCCAAAACCTGACCCTATCCTGGAGGAAATTTCTGCCCTCTGTGCTTCACATCAAAGAATGTCAAATACTTAGGTTCTGTGCCACCTCAGTAGATCGTCCTCTGCATATGTGAACTAAAGGCCTGTTTAGCTTGTGACAGAAATGACAATAATCAGTGCTGATTTACATTTTGAAACAGATGTTGCCAGATTGCCATACTTGCACTTTATTCTCCCAGGGCATCCCTCGTTGTTCATGGTATGTCGTTTATTTGGACTAAATGTCAGTATCCACAGTTTCTGGAAACTTGTGAGTGGCTGGAGCTTGTTGTCCAAACATCCTTAAATCTCCAGTTCCATGTATGCCCTGTTCTTGGTGGTTATTTTTTCTTAGTTAATTTTGCTTTTCTGCTTAGAGTTGATTACATGATTTCAGGCTCGAAACAGATCCAAAACTGGGCTGGCAAGAAGAGTGTTGCGGGACAATTAATAAGATTTTTGCTGATATTTGGTAAATTAAGTGTGAATCTAAACTCTTCATCAAAAATTATACTAAAACCTGAGAAAAACACAAGCATGAATCTTGAACCACTAGCTAAACACTCAACACCAAATCTCCTTTGGACATTGTGCTCCTGCCTTCCTGGTATTTGTTTCTGGGCCTTCCTTCCCTTGCATTGTTTGTACTTTTTTATTTTGAATCACAGTACTTTAATTATAATTTATAGTAACAGCTTGAGCTAAAACTTTTATTCCTCTCTCATATGAAAACATAGCTGCAAGATACAATAAGCAAAAGATAACGTTTAATAGGTATCTTTACAAAGAATAAACCGTTGCTAAATCATCCTTTTCTTACTCGTTCCCAGTAGAACCAAACCTTTTCTTTTAAAATCCATTTTGTGATATCAATATTTCTTCAATGTATCTGCAAATAATATTGAAGGACAACCTGGGTACCCTCCCTCTTCCTCCCCCAGGCTAGCAAGATGTAAAACATGCACCCCTCAACCCTTCACTTTCTCCCACTCACAGATAACCTACTCTATTAAACTGAGGGGTTTTTTTTCTAGAAAAGCCTTGTTCTTCCTCTGTGCTTCCTCAGAAGCAGTATCAAGCTGCTGTGAAAAGCAAATGAAACAAAAAGTCTATCAGTATCCATGCCAACAAACACTGTATTTAGTGTTAAAACTGGACTCATTTTGTTTTGCTGTCTATGGTTACTCTAGTGAAAAGTATTTCTTGGCACAGTATTAGTTCCAATGATAAATATTTCAAACTTCTCACAGAAAACAATTGCTAATTATTTCTGTAGAAAACAGCTTCCCACTGACAACTTGCAAAGAGAGTCTAAATTCATTAAATAAACTATTCATGCTGAACGTAAAAGTGTTTATAGAAATAGTTAGGCTTAAAACAAACTGAAGTTGTCTTTCTATTGATTCAACCACTCAGCAAGGAATAATTTTAACCTCTTTATCTTTCCCATATCCACATAAATGGCAACAAGGCCAGTCTCTCCCATCCACAACACTATACATGGTCATATTTTATTTAATGAATATAACCCTATGTAAGTGTCTGAAACATAAAAGGGATGAGTGAAGGAAACCTTTGTATTTGGATAACATACTTGCCTTTAGAAAGAACTGACAGGTTATACCCCCCCCGCCCCGAGATGCTGACCTGCAGTGCTGTCTAGCTGATGCCAGTAAGGCATTATCTTCCGACTCTACCTCATGAGTTGAAGAGACACAGAAAATCAATTTGGAAAGCAGACGACTTGGACTTATAGAATTCCATTTGCTGTCAGTAAGAAACTATTACCTTATATAGGATTATACTTAGAGATTTCAGGGAGAAAGGTTCAAGGCAAATAAAATAACTTTTTAACATTTTATTGATGAACAGCAGAAAATGCAGCTTTTGTTTATCATACTGCTGGATGTAATATCAATTTGTACATGTGTAAATAAACTTTTGCACATGTTTTCAACATAATAGCCGCTGTTCTGAAAATAACTCAGGCATATGGTGTCACAGTCATGGACATCACCCTGAGAAAGATTGAGGATACAGAGCAGTGTGGTGGGAGCAGCAGAGGGATCTGAGGACTGTAAATCCAGCCACAGAGTAAATTGTCAGTGGCTATTTTGTGCTGAGCCATCTGTTGGCTTGACTACACTGCCAGTGATAGTTTAAAGATAGCTGGAGCGTGTCTATACAAGCTACACAAAACGGTAGCTTCTATGCTCTTTGAAAAGAACAGGATCCGACTTACATTATACAGTAAGCATTGCAGATGGCCTTTTAATACACCCTTCTTCCCAGGAACAAGTTTTGTCACCAGGGAACACACAATGCCCTTTGACCTGTATAACCAGAGGCTCAATATTCTGTTCCATATCCTGGCGGGCACATCCTGTAGTATATTCTTCAAATGTTATTCCTATATCTGTATTGCAAGAAACTTATCAGAGCCCATGAATATTGTTGTTCATATTCTCTATTAGCATCTATGTTACCAGTGCCTTTCTTTAGAGTAGACGGTGCTCTAAAATAGGATATATATGTATATATAATTATTTTCAGTTGAGAAGTGGTCTTGTAACGGAATGAATTACAGATCTGTAGGTGAAGATTTGAAATGGTGCTCCACAGACTGCTTTCCATCTTCTAGAACTTTGGAAATGCGCTGCAACAAAAAGAGGAACAGAGTGCCATATGTTAAAATGACTACTGTATTGGATTCAGTAATAGGTATATTAATTACTAGCTTGTGGCCTTAAGCTGTAGCTAGAGAAAAAAGACGATGACCAAATGCTGGATATTTTGAATCGATTTCTCTATCCTGCAAAACCATAAATCTGTATTTAAACCTGTCCGCATGACTCCAGTCATGCTGTGAAACACTGTACAAATGGATTTTTAGCTTCATTCAGTCCTTTTTCAGACTTGTAAAAAAGGACATTTTGTCCTCCTTATTTTACATGCTATTTAGGTTTAAATGTGAATGGATGAGATCATGCTGAAAAGCTGTTACTCCTGGGTTTGAAAAGAACAAGTATGTGATAAATTGAATATAAGTGAAATCCTACAGACTTCAAATTAATAGGTTATTCTTGTTCCTACCAGAAAAATATGATTATGAACACATCTAAATGCAGATTTTCCTAAATGTTGCTCTATGGTCCCTTAAGGCACTATCTATATTTTTTAAAAGACTGCAGAAACTAATGGATGAAAATGAAACCTATTCACCAGAAAAAATTTAAAAAAAAAACAAACCAAAAAAACCCCAACCTTTGCTTTGTAAAATATTACAAGTGTCACAGAATGCTTATGCAGTATGCATATCAGCAGCTACCCGCATCTGCATTAAATGTCACCCTCCCACTACCTGAAAAAAATAGGAAACCTTTAAAACTTTTGAATCTTAATATCTGCACTGAATATACATTTTTTGCTTTCAAACACTACATTAAATTCAATAGTTTTAATTTTGTGAAATTTCCACAGAAATCAGTGAAAGGTTTCCTACTTCAAAGGAAGGCAACCTGTTTTAAGCAACATGAACGACTCCAGTGTAAGCCAATTTCTACTTTCAAATAAGCATCTCTGACAGCAGAAATTGACTCGCACTGTGCATGTTTTGTCATATATGCTATGCTTACCTTACTCTGATGCTAGTGCTAACTGCCCAATGTAATTAAATCGAACAAGAAATAATTGCTTTCCTCTTTTGCTAATAAATGTTATATAAAGCAAATCAGAGAAAATCAGTAGGTCAAATGAGACCTCTTGTGGTACAGATGCAGAAGTGCACATCTGAGCCTTCCTTTTAAACACACACAAAGATGTACTTCCGTACTCCAGAAAGCACAGCCAGAGGCAAATTTTTGCTTCCCTATAGAGCTTCCACTCCTCTCTCTGACAAGAGAAGTAAGAAAAAAAACAGAAGTAAGAGTTTGACTTATGATCTTATGGTATTTTAAAATGACTTAATTTTCAGAGCACAGAATTTTTGAAGAGGTAACGCTTTCTTTTTTCCCCATAAACACACAGAACTTACCATTGTTTTAAATAACTGGTTCACTTTTTTTTTTTTGAAGGTTTTCTTGTCACCATCTGAGGTGGTAGGAAACACTGGTTGACTCAACCTATGTGATGCAATTGTTTCATCATGTGCCACAGGGCTGACGGACAGAGTTAATCCTTAGAAACATATTTGTTACACAAAACAAAACGAGAAAAGGAGAGTCAGAATGTAAGATAAAGCAAGATTCAAAATAATGAACTACTGCAATTACTAGAAAGAAATGAGACATTTTTAATCTAACTATATCCTTAGAATACAAAAATAAGTAATGGGGAAGTGCTAAACTTCAATACATTGAAACTGAATAGTGAAAAAAATGAACCTATCTGGTCAAAAAAGAAAAAACAGATAAATACATGAAAAAGAAGTGGGCCATGAGAGTCTGTTGTGTTGTGCTAAACGTCTGTTACAGGCATCTGGAAAGATAAGGACAGTTGAAATGCAGGCTAAGAAATGGGATGTGCTATGGAAGAAGTAGGGGGTAAAGGATATTAAAAAAGGGCACGTTTTCTCTATACACCCTGGCCTGGAAGTGAGTTCCACCTTCAGTTACACTTTCCCCTTCTCTATCATGCAACTGTCAGCCTTTCTAGTGGGTGGTTATGTTATCTTGTTTCCCCTTCCTCTTGCTGTGAGGGATCCTCTCTAACGTCGAAAGCAGAAGTTGAAACCCTACTATGGGGCAACCTTTGGGGATATTCATCTGCCAAAGCAAAGTACAGAGCATTTCTTCCTGTTTCAAACGCTGCCCTCAGCTGTGAGGGCAGACTGCAGAAGCCCTTGCTTCTGCAAGTGAGACCCTACAAAGCAAGGAAGATGAATAAACCTTGTCTCTTCAAGGCAGAGGGAATGCCCACACTATACAAGGAAGCAAAATTCGGAGCTCCAGAAGTAACACTTGTAGAATTTGCATGTCAGCGTTAGGCAGCACAGTGTAATCAAGCAGTAGTAGCAGTCCAGCCTCACATGCACAATACACACTGAAACTGTAATCTTTGTCTCAGCGGCACGGAGCCACATAGAGAGAGCTACCTGCTCTGCTTGGAGCAAACCCTTTATTGCTATGTTTTCTTAACATAGCAATAAAGAAGTGCAGAACTCTCATCTTATTGTAAGCAGCTTACCTGGGATAGTTGGCATAGAACGACTGACAGAGCTCATCTGCTTGAGGACAGATGTTTTCTGAGGTGCCACTACATGTTCTGAGAGGTTGGTATCACTCATAAACTCATATTTCCTTGACAGCTGTTTAGTAAAAAAAAAAATAGTGCCATTAATGCTGAACTGAGATATGAGCAACAAAGATCTAAGCAAGATAATATTTTGTGAAAAGCATAAAAGAAAATAATTAATAAACAAACTATCATGCCTAACCCGAGTTCTTTATGGGATTGTTTGCTGGTGTATGTGTTATCTAATTCAATCAAAAGACAAAGGTGTTGCTTGTTTTTGTATATTAATGCTTCTCAGAGCATGACTGTGCTTTATATCTCCCTTTTGTATGAGGACATGTAGTGTAAGACAATCATAATCCTCCACAAGTTTCTCCTTGTTTCCCAAAAGAATCTTAGCTTTCTACTGAATTCGCTTTGCCTTTGATGATTTCTCCAAAAATATTTGATCAAATGACTTATGCTCTCTCCATGTAATTCAACAATCTATTATTGCCTGACATGTTAATTTAGATAGGGCTTGCATATCAAGAGGACATCTTTCAAATTTTTTTTTATTATTTCTTTTCATACTAAAAGAAGAAAAGTCTCCTGAGAATGAAACTACCAAAAAAAAAAAAAAGCACAATATAAGTTATGTAAGTCATTCTAATGATCTAGCAGTGCAATAAAAGCACTTAGATGATCTACGGAGCTAGAGATGCCAGTGCTTCCAAACTTCAGTCTGGCACCGTTTAAGGAACACTGTTTGCAATCTTGCAATTTCCTAACAGCTGCATGTTCCATAACAAGGTACAAAACGTACAGGGCTCATCACTTTTGAAATAGCCCTGACTGCAAGGAGCTGCCATGAAATGTCAGCACAGTCAATTGCCTCTCTACAGGAAAGCTAGCTTAACCCTCCCAATATAGTACTCCATTTTAAGCTAACCAAGCTTCAGAATTTGCAACTTCAGGGCTATATTATCTGTCATCATAAGCAAGTAGAGACGTTCTGATTTTTCCATTGATTTGTTTCCTCCCCAGCATCTTGCAGGTTTCATTCATGGCAGGGCAGATCATCTCTGCATCCTGCCTATTTCCCTTTATGACAGCTAAAGTTCTATGTGATATATTTTACTTTTCCTAAGCAAAGGAGTAACGTCCTTTTTTTTATGGACTATAAAATACTACTCTAAACCAGTGACATACACATTTCATGTCAGAGACAGAAATATCAGGTGCTGTCTTCTCATCAGCAAACACCACACTGCTTCTTTTTGTTCTTTTTTTGGACCTTCTCATCTTTACTTCAGGGTGAGGATTAATTTGCAGAGCAGTCTCCTCTGATTCTGCTTTTACTTGCTTTGGTAGCAGTACTTCCAGATCAAAGCTGCAAGAGCAAAAGAAAAAAGTACAAGTTGCTGAGTGATATTTTAAATGCCACTGGTATTCTGATGTCATTTCCCCATGGAATATAAATGCAGGTCATCCTTTCCTTTGACTTTCTATGCAGCCTTGCAAACTGTTGGCAAAAAGTGTATGATGTGCTTCAGCTGGCAACTCTAGATATAAATAAGATGCCTTCAGGAGGTATGCCGTCGCCTTAAAATGTTGCAAAGAATGTAATATAGGAGTGCAAATCCCTTTTTAAAGATTTGTGCATTAGCTTAAGAGCTCCTAAACTAAACAGTTAGAGCTCATATGGCAAGTTTATGCATGGTGATGATGGTGCTGAAAGCAAGACATGCTATTTTGGTTGTTGAAAACAGTGGAACAGACTATTACTATTTATTGTCATGTTTTAAATGCATCCTCCTATTTATTTCACCATATTGGACAACAACACACATACTCAGTGATCAAAAAAAAAAAATCTCCCTCCTCTCTTCCTCTAATTTTTATAGTTTAAAAATTGGGCTATTTTTCATTAAAAAAAACAAATATGAAATTGGTGCTGGCTTTACTCCCTTCTCTGCTGATGTAGTTAGTGTATTGAACATGGGGCTGAACTTATTTTACAACATAAAAATTGATAAATCAAGTAGTATGGTGAATTTGTTGACCCATGCTTCCTAGAAACAAATTAGCATCATAAGAATTAAAAATAGGTGCATGATTCAGCTGCTTAAGTGTAGTTGTCTGGTTCCATAGGAGATGCCCTGCTTTATTAGAGACATGGGACTGGCAGATATGACACAAATCATGTTTGTGTGCTACACCCTTCTTGAGTGGAAGCTGAAGTGCAGGAAGAGCAGCCTGGGACATCTCATAATGTGTGATACTACACATCTTTGTTAGACAACTCAAAAAATTTAAGTAGTGTTAAACAATGAACTGGCAGTCAAACACGCAAGAATAGAGGGGTATCTTAAGAAGAACCACTTCCATACACCTTTGGACTTTTTACTTTTTAAAAGTGAACTAGTCAAAAAGAGATCAGATGTTAAAAAAAAAAAAAAAAATCACAATTGAACACTCCTCAGCAAGATCTATTTTGTATGTACCTTGTTTGGGAAGAAGTTCTATGTGCCCAAAGGATAATTTGTAAAGCGATCGAAAAACAATTTGTGGATGAAAAAGCTAATCAAGACACCTATAACCGTTCTGTCAAAAGTCTTTACGTTTCCCAGTGCTGCAGTTAAGAAAGCGTATTAGGCAAAGCATTTTACATTACTACAGGCTTTACTAAACCGTTCCGCCTCCTTACATGTAAGTTTGTAAAGGTTATCCTCTTCCTCTCCAAGTTTTACAAGCAAAAAGATGCTAAGTAAGTTAAAAGCTGTATAAAGAGAAACTTGCAAAAAACCCAGATCTTTGTATTTTTTCTGAAATGTCATTTAAATTTTAAAATACTTGTTTCTTGAAAATGAAATGCCACTTTTTTCAGGGAGAGCTGAGTATATTTTGTCTATTAAGGTTGAAATACTGTAGCTTTAAGCCTGGAAGAAGTGATAGCTACAGTTAAAAACAATTTTGGCATAACCTGAAAAGACTGCTAGTGGTCTTTATCCTTGTATGCCTTTTTTTTCAACCTTTTAGTTTCATCCCATAACACTGGTTAAAAACCAGGACTGAAAAAAAATTTGTATTGTATTCATAACTAACCTTTCTGAAGCAATTTTGTTTGGAGTACTGCAGTCTGAATTCATGGAAGTCAGTGAAATAACTGATAACTGACGATAGGATCTCAGCATTGATCTTGGCCGTCCTACTCTCTTGTCATCAAAATCTGGCTACAGGATGGAAAAGAGAAACATTTATATCAAACAACTTTGTGTGAACCTCATTTCATCCCTTTTCACTAGGTCTTGAAGATAGCACAGATGTTTTAACATTTGGCATGAAAGAGTTGTTTGCTACCATTAATTACTGTGATTGTTTCTTCTGTCTGGATACACTCTAAGACCTCTCAAACTCAATGATACAGTGAGTAACTAAATAAACTACAATTGACATAATGCACTGTATGTTTGAAAAAGAAATTAAGAGAAACAGTGTCTGCTGATCTTATTTTGAACAGACCTGAGGCGCGCCAATAAAGTACTTGCTTGGGCAAATAGATTTAGTTAGTCCTTGCTCCAGGACACATGCTCCATCTTCAACACAACAGGTTATGCCATCTCTATACCTTAATATAGCCTTTTTTAATTATATGTTTGCAAATGTTGGACAAAATTAGTATTTCCCTAATAGCCAGACAGGAAGAACAGGAGGATTCTCCAGGTCATCATGTATCCATATTGCACAAAGCCATATATGCTACACCATCTCTCTCTGCAAAGCTTGAAGTTGATATATTCTGCAGTGGAAGGAGAAAAAGGAGATATCACTCCAAATCTTCTTGAAGAAGCTTAATGTTGATGGTTATTTAGGCTTTGCAGCCTTGTACAAGTTAACCGAAACAACCTGAGTTATTTCCAAATGCTTTCCTGTTACTTTTGTTAATAAGGTAGGGGACAAGTATCACTTTTTCTTGGCTAATTCTAGAACTGTTTTCTTTCTTCAGGGGTGACTCTGGGATCTAAAATTGTAGTATGCAGTTAGCTCTTCTCTCTTTTTCTGTTCAAGTATTTCCTGGGATGAGCATGCCTCCCCCTAGTTAGCTCATCACCGTGTCATGATATGAGGCAGGTTTTTGAGAATTTCCCAGTGCGTGCATACCATAAACTACTTTTCCAGACTACTTCAATTCCTATCCTATAAACAGGATGTGAACAGCTTTTAAAACACTTTTAAAAAAATTTCATTCTAAAGCACAGGGTTTTGTTCTGATTATCCAGAAAATATTAAAAATTTATGTGTAATTTCATATGCCAAATTCCCAAATACTTTGCTTCTGATATAATTTCTCACTAAGACTCTGATGTCTAGGAGAAGACTTGGAAACTTTTGTAGTTTCAAGAATTATTTTCAAGTGTTCTGCAGAATTTACATGCAATGAGTTTATATGCTGCTCATCCTTTGAACGGCCAGAATCTTGTGATAAAGACACAATAGCTGCGTAACTTTTTTTTTTTCTTTTAATAAAAAAGCTCAGGCCAGCCACCAGAGAGAGTCAGACATGGTAAAATGGCAGTAGTGCCATTCACAAAGTACATTCTCTGCTCTTGCAAAATTTTAAATAGGTTGCTTTTTTTAAGTGCTGATCCATAAGGGTGCTGAAGGGTTCAAGCATTAGGCAAGATTGCTAATTGTGGATTACAGCCTCTTTATTATTGCAAGGATGGTGGCATGAAAATAAAAAAAACATACTGAGATAAATATATAGAATTTTCATCATATAGATGTGCACCACAGCACAATATCCGAAATTTAGGTTAGAAACTTGCTACTTTTTCCCCTTAACAGAAGAAATAAATCCTCTGATAAAATCATCAACGCTGAAAGCAACAACATAAAATACTTTCCGAAGCAACTGGTGTTTAATCACAAAAACCAGCCAACATCATTCTTGCTAGCCTGCACAAGCTCAGATAGACTATTTTATTCAAGAATTGGCTGGAGAGTTTGTGTTTAGAAGTTATCCTTCTATATATTTCAGTTTGGCCTCAACTAACATTTACAGTATTATATACGATAGGTTTTACTTCACAACACAGCTGGAAGTGGCTAGCACAGGGAGGTATCAATTGCAGATCAAAGCCCTAAACCACTAAGAAAAAATACAAAGAGGAGAAACATGAGAATTTGCTTTTACTTCCTTAATAAGGTGGAAAAGAATTGCAATTTTAATAGACATAATAAAATACTCCAAATCTTCCAGAATGAGGAATATTTGAAACGTCAGAGAATTGAATCAACTCTTTAACTATAAAACTCAGGTCCTACTACCTTCAGATCACAAGAAAACCGACAAGCAACAGAAGTTTAGTATGTGTTTTCCTTTAGAAGAACAAGATGTGTATTAAGTAAAGAAAAATTGCAGGAGAAGTTAAAAGGAGAGCAATACCAATTCTCTGGCTCCATATTGTTTTTCCACTTTAACTTTTAAATGCTTGAAACATTCCTCCATACGGTCATGGAAAGGACGAAGATTATCAGAAACTCTTCTTTCATGAATTTTAATTCCAGCCCCAAGGAAAGGTATCTTGAAGAGGGGAAAAAAAGAAGGAAAAAAGTGAGAATATTAAACTGGGTCTGACAACCCCTCTAGCTCCATTTACAGTACCTGCTAAGTCAACTGCAAAACTCTTACTGTGATTGGCAGATAGATTGTCAGTTGTTCTCAGCTTTTAGCAGCAACTACAAGACGGAAAGGGCTCTTGAAAAATGGACTTGCTCTGTAAATTTTTGAAGAATGTTGGCTGCCTCATAGTGACTGTTTTGTCTCTTCTCTGTATTGTAATGTTAATTCCTTATGAAATTAAACATGCGAGAGTTTAAAAAATTCTTAGACTACTAGCTCAGCTGCTTATGAAGGTGCCTGCCATAGTTTGCAAGAAAGAATGTAAAGATCAAAAAATATGCAAGTGGATTCCAGGCAGGTTTCAAACTCTTCTCTTTCAAACAGAGGATTAAGTGACTGGGAAAGGTTTAAATCAATCTACTGGGGGCTTAATCTCATGATCACTTTCACAATTGCTGCAGCAATTTGATATTTAACACCTGGTTACTGAAGGTGACCTATTCCTTTCTCCTCAATTTTACTCTGCAGACTTCCTCTGTACTCCCCACATCTCAGGAAAAATTCAGTAAGATAATGCTTCAATACAAAAATGAACAGCTCAAGCCATGAACAGAAGCAGTTTGCACTAACCAGGCTGCCTTTGCTCAATTTTACCCCTGTGCTTTTCTTTTTTGTTGCTCATCCGTTAGGCTGGGGTCAGTGACAAGTAATCAAAGGGGTTAAGATCTCTGATTCTTCCTACTAGAGTTGAAAGAAGGTACATAATGATAGTTTTTAAAAACTGGGATGGTGGGGGAGGAATATAGATATCTACTCCCTTAAAGGAGAACACCTGATAAAAAGGTTAGGAAACGGTCTATCTGTTCATTAAATACCTCCCTCCACTTGAATTTCTTAAAAAAATCCTTCTCCTTTGTCAGAAGGAATGGCTTGCTTACCAAATTAAAAAAAATCTTATAATGAAGCAAATGTGATAGTAATACTACCTTTCTAACACCTTCCCTACAATGCTTTCCTTTGCTATTATATTGCTACTATCATCTTTGCTGTTATATTAGTGTAATAATATCCAGTAAAAAGCAAACAAACCAAATCTTATCTTCAAAGATAATGGACAGCACACTTTGACATGCTGTTTAATTAATAATAAACGTATTCACAAAGAGAAATTTTGTAGTGCTTCTCTTTAAAATATAAAGACATTTCATTAGTCTTCTATCTTTGAAGATGGTGATTTATGAGATTTGTGCAACATACTCTTAGCTACCCTTCTGCCAGTAACCTTTTCTCACGGCTTTACCATTGACTTTTAGCTATTTTGCATTAATGTTTGGGGCTTTTTGGTAAAAACCACTTAGATTCCACACTTTCTTTTTGTGTTCTGACACTATAAATACTATTAATATTGTATACATTGGTCCACCCATTGACTTGATGATATTTTATGGAAGTTCAATTCCAATATAACCTTTACAAACATGGTATTAAAGCCCATCTATTACAGACAGATCTGTTTGTCCTCTTTAGAGGGATTTACAGGGATAGATATAAATTAGCACTTTATTTACTAGTGCCAGATAGTATTATGGTCAATTTATACCACTACACCCACTGAGTATTTCTGATGGTCAGAAAGCAACCACATACAGAGCCTGTGGTGGGCAACAATACAGGAGAAAGCTGTAAAGGTTGGTGACTCAAACTGATAGTCAAACTGAGATGAATCAAAATGAAACAGGAAGAAACTTCAAAAACATTAAGAAAATAGTACAAAAAAATTCCATTAAAACTATTTGGAAGATTCATTTCAAGGCTGAGAGAGGAATAAATGCTTAATTCTAGCTGTTTCTCATCTATGAAACTGAATCATAGAATCATTGAATAGTTTGGGTTGGAATGGACCTTTAAAGGTCTAGTCCAACCCCCCCGCCATGGGCAGGGACATCTTCAACTAGATCACGTTGCTCAGAGCCCCATCCAACCTGACCTTGAATGTTTCCAGGGATGGGGCATCTACCACCTCTCTGGGCAACCTGTGCCAGTGTCTCACCACCCTCATCGTAAACAATTTCTTCCTTCTAGCTAGTCTAAATCTACCCTCTTTTAGTTTAAAACCATTCCCCCTTGTCCTGTCGCAACAGGCCCTGCTAAAAAGTCTGTCCCCATCTTTCTTATAAGCCCCCTTTAAGTACTGAAAGGCCGCAATAAGGTCTCCCCAAAGCTTTCTCTTCTCCAGGCTGAACAATCCCAACTCTCTCAGCCTTTCCTCATAGGAGAGGCGTTCCATCCCCCCGATTATTTTCGTGGCCTCCTCTGGACCCACTCCAACAGGTCCATGTCTTTCCTGACTGAGGGCTCCAGAGCTGGACGCAGTACTGCAGGTGGGGTCTCACCAGAGCAGAGCAGAGGGGCAGAATCACCTCCCTGCTGGCCACGCTGCTTTTGATGCAGCCCAGGGTACTGTCGCCCCTCTCAGAAGGATGGCATAAGATTAAATCAATGAAGAAGAATTTTTTAATTTAGAATTCTTAGTACAAAGAATGAGACATGGAACATGACAAGAAATATCTTGAGCTATTCACTTCTGATAATAAAATTCCAGATTAACTCACACTATTTCATAACATCCCTCTTGAAAGGGAGATCATTATATTATGCCTCAATATAGCAATTACTATGCCCATTCATTTACACAGCAAACAGTTCTTTCTCACTTACATCATCTACATTTCAGAGGACTTAGCAGTTAGTGGTTTCTTAACAAGCTACCTTGTGCACAAAAATGTAAGTATCTTCTCTCATAGTCATTCATTTTGCCATATATTGATGGCAATAATTTCTAAATGGACCAGATAATGCAAACAGAATTGATAATTTCTGAGGTCATGTTTTTCTTCCCTCCAATATCATAACAAATGCCATTTTCCCTTGAATCTCAGCAAAAATAGAATTTTTTCTGCTACCACCTGCTGTAGGTGCATTTTCCTCTTTGAGGACAAAAGGGTTCTGCAGGTTGGTTGGCTTATCATATGTACACTATATATAAAATAATATAATAATAAATAAAAAACCAAATAACCTCGGTGCTGCTAGTATAGGCAGAACATTCAGTTTTCCTCTGGAGATACAGCTTAAAAATATTTACTAATGGTCTTCCATGCAATTTGTCACACAAAAGACATGTAGCAGCAATCTTGAAGGGTCACTGAGCATGAAAATAACTCCTGTGAGCAACTAGCATTCCATTAAGGTTTCTAATGCAGCTCCCCCTCCCCCAAACAAACAACAATGATGAACACCCACCTCTGGGAAAGAATTATTTCCCAAGAGAATTTCTGACATTTGCAAATGCTTGTTTTCCCAGCAATTCATGAAGTCCTTATGACTTTTGTCATGCTCTCAGTTCTGTCTCCAGGAATACAACCTGAGTTTGAAATCCTTGCCCTTTTAACCATAAAAGTAGCCCACTGTATGTGACTTTTGATAAACCATTCCAAATGATGTGTTCTACAAAGTACTATTCTGGCCTACTGCTTTCCCTAGGACATAAGGAGACATATGGGTAATTCCCCTGATTCTGGTAGCATTTCATCTAACTCTTAACAGACACGATAATGATGATACTCCTCAGGAAACATGATGTGATTTTTGTCATTAAGCCATTTCTCCAGTTTAGGCACAGATTTTAAAAAACGTGAAGGACAAGATCGCTCAGATCCCCAAGAATGTCACATCAGAGGGTAAGGAATTATTGCTATGCTGTTTCATCAGTGATCTTAGTGGGTTAGTAATGGAACACATGCTTCCTGTTAGGCACATTAAAATTGAAGGAGTTGAAGTCCTTTTTCCTACTTAAGGGAAACTATTAATATCTAAATAGGATAATAAATAGATAGTCCTTTTACAACTATACATACTCTGAAACAGACCGTTTAGTCTAAGAGAGTATTTTACTATGAGTCCCTTCTCAAAAAAATACTATGAATTCATCACAGAACTAGGTAGGAAGTTGGTAATAAGAATCTTCTCATTTTTCTACCCCTCCCTGCTTGGGGGAAACAGTAAAGAAACAAAACAAAACAAAAACCCCCACACACCCCCCAGTAAAAATGACACGATCCTCCAAATGCTATATTCTCCTGCCAGAAAGCAACAGAAAAAAGGAATAGCTGATGAAGCCTCAGATGTCTGCTGTCAGTAAGAAGTTACCTGCCAAGCAATTAGATCTTTGAGTCTATTCAGTTTTTCTTGATCCTCTGGATGGTCTCTAATATATTCTTCTGTAAAGAAAGCCTTAGACAAAAAAAAAAAAAATTCAGTCCATCATTTCGACAGGTAAAGAAATCAATGACCAGAGTCCATTGACTCCAGCTGGTGACCATAATATTGGTCATCAAACAAGAGAGACATACGCATGCTCCTTAACCAAATGCTGCTAGCGATAACTCCTTATTATATCAGTTGAGAACCGAGGTGCTCTTTTTTGTTAAAACGTATTCAGTCTTTACCCAACACTTTTGAGTTTGGGACCCTTACTATGAAGCCCAATTATTGTTTGTTTTATTAAGCTTGCGCTAAAACTGAAAGGGCACAAATTTGGAGTATCATGATTTACATTGATAAATGATCATTTTATTTAAGTACCCTACATAATAACATTAGCCAGTGTTATACAATAAAGAAAAGTAACTCTTTCATAGACAAGCAGAGCCAGATATTGCATACATACTGCCTTTTGCTGCCCAAAGATTTTATCCTCCAGGAACAAAAGGAGAATGTAGCTATTTGTCCATGACTGCCAAATATCTAAACAAATGATACTTTACAACTAACATAGCATAAGTTATACTCCTCCAGAATATATCATGCTTAGCACATATAATTTATGTGTGTACATATGTACATATATATATATGGTATCTTATCAGTACTATCCAAGCCTATCTGACATGCTGAGCCTACTGAGCATGGCACATGCTTTTATCAGGAAATGGCAGGCAGAAATAATAGAGCTTTACAGCTGTGGGGTAACCCCACATTCATTTTCATCCAAAACTTTAATAATTAATAATTCAGAATTTAAATTTATATGAGTTTTCCTGCTTTCTCTCCTGCCCCGCCTTCACAAGGTGGCCTTAGGGACAAATTTTCTACAGTTCAGTTCCTCAAGACATTCCATTTTCCATGTATTGCCAGAACAGTTTTTATTTGTGTTCCCATTTTTTAACAACAAAACCTGCTACGCAGAATGGCTCCAGTTACTGAGAAAACCTGATGATGGTTTAACTGATAATGCACATTTAAATACTCCAGACCTACTGTAGGATAAACTTGATCATTTACTCCAGACCAAATCTTTTGATGTGTGAGAGCCTATTTCATTACAAAAGGTGTATCACATCTCACATGTATATGAAAAGCCTCATAACTGCAATTAATATTGAGCTTCAGTTACTCTAGTTTGCTAGTTTCTGCTTTCAAAACCAGATGTGACCAGGATACGAGGACTTCTCAATCTGTGGAGTTATGGCTTTCATATTCCCAGCCCACATTCCACTGCCACTTTGAACAAAGGACATAGGAGGATTATAGAATAATATATCTGAATATGTTCTTTGCATTGACTTAAAAGCTCTTACCTTCTCATATTTAGCAAAGCCACCCATAACAGCTGGATCAACAATTCCATTCAGAAGCATAGAAAGCGGATTAATAGGAAGGTTCTCATCACTCTGGTATTGGTTAATCATCATCAAAATTTTTTCATTCGTTGTGGACATAGTCTCAATAGCATTCTCTAAAGGACTAATTGTAGTCTATAAAGAAACAAAAGACTTCTAAGGTTTATAAAGAGATAAAAAGGGTTTTTTTGGTTTTATAAAACTTCACGTATATGAACAACATCCTTACAATTCAGCAAACCAACACAGATTTGTTCAATTCTCGTAGGACTTGGTCCTGAAACTATAAATCACATGTAAGATATATTGATACCAGCAGTAGAAAGATAAAACATAAGTAATAACAGTTTTGTATGTATAAAATTAAGTAAATAACAATAGCCTTGTGTGATAAATTTACAAACTATTTTGTACATGAGGATTCATATAGATACATGTTTTACGGGTTCTTAGCATGTTAATACACACCTGTGACATGGAGACAACCTCAAACCACCGTAAAATTCCAGGAAGTTTGTATGCTGTAACAAATGATGTTCTCTCAATCCACATAGACTATTAAAAAAACATAGCAGGGAGAAAATGATACTTCAGGATTTGAACTTGAATCTTTTCTGCCTTCTGAAATGTCAGAGTGAAAAGAATGTAGATGGAAAACATATGCACATTTTTGTATAAAAGGACACTGCAAAATTAATCTAGCACAGCAATTCCCACAAATCATTTTTCTGGTTTCAGATTAGGTCATCTTCAGGCACTAAGCCTGCACAAAGCAGAGGAAAAAGAAAATTACCCTTGAATCTTTTAGTATCTATTTCTATTTTTGCCATTACAGATTGAATGACTGTAACTAAATGACCTGGTCTCACCTCTACCCAGATTATACTTCCTCCCTCCACTTTCAAAACGTATTTCTGCAATTAAAAGCAGTAATAGCGCTACAACAACTTGCCAGCATTCTTACTTCCCTTCCCCTCCCTTTCTTTTTCCTCTTCTGAATAAGACTAGCTGTTGGTATTTTAAAATGCCACTAGTTCATTTACCCTACTGCTCCTTATTTTACCAGTATCAGCTCACCTAAACTGCCAGTACTGAGAAACATAATAATCAATGCAATGAAGACATACTCCAACTATCCCAATTTCGACCTATCTGAAGTAAATATGCATATTATCTATTGTCATCAGCAATGAAAACATTAACGATTTAATTTTTGTAAAACCATTTCAAGGTATATTCATAAATGGTTTCAAAACTTTCCAGTTTGCAAAGGAAGCAAATGTGCATCATGAGTCTTGATAAAAGTGCAAAGCTGGGATGTCAGGGTAGAGTTTGCATCTGAAGCATTTAATTTAACAGCAAGTAAGAAGCTCCTTACATGAAACTGTTGACACTACTAATCGGCACACACATAACTGAAATTGTACATTTTTGAAATAAATGGCTTTTCCCAACAGTATCCCAAGAGCACAGCTTTAGCCATAAATATTGGATGGCATGGTTTTCATGACCAACTAGAAAATATCAGATATCTGTAAAATTAAAATATAAAAACTTACCACATTTTTATGCATGACACTGAAAAATAATTTATGGTGTTGCGGACTTCCTAGAATATTTGAACAATGAAGACTATTTCTCAGCATTACACCATCATGCATGGGAATAAAAATTACACAGGTAGTACTCTAGTCTGTCAAGATTTCACAGGACTGATGAAAGCAGACGACACACACCTCTCATTGCCAAGCTGGCAGCTGACAACAGTGTTGTAAATTACAAGCGGCAAACCACTTGATATTTATTTACACATCATCTTGTTTCATAATGAAAATCTGTACCAGAATATGTTACCGCTTAACACAAATGCGTTGAACATACTTAACTACATAATGTTTACCTGCAACTGAAACTGATGTATCACTAAGTACATACGTGTAGTGCTGAAATAGAGAAATCTTGCGTTTATTTTTTTGAACCACATGCTAAAGTTAGGGTGTCTGTAATGAGTAATCTGAGACTAAGAAAGGATCTAGATCGAAATTCAGTCACAGCTACCAGAACTGCAACCATCACCTTGTCATTCATTTACTTACAGCAAATTCATTTTCAGGGTCAACAGATCCTTTTCTGACTGGTCGTGAATAGTGGAACCGGTGCACATTGTTGGACTTATAAAAACTGAAAGATTTAAAAAAGACTATTGTAAAATACAGAATTCAGAAATTTATGGATATTGTTATCACAGTGAAATATTTCATTTTGATTCAGTCGTGTTTGTAATTAAAAGCAAATTTACTGCTCAGAAGAAAAGCACTTTACTGAAAACTCAGGAGACAACTACTTTATCTATAAATCAGGGTCAACACACAGTATTTTACAAGTATTAAGCTTCAGCTTGTGACTGGGTGTAATTTCCAGGTACAAAAATTCCAGAACTTCCAGATTAATGTTAAAACCTACAGAAGAAGGCCTAGAAAACATTTTACTTTCCTGTATTCTTGCTGTGGCATGCACACTGCTTGCCTGCTTTACAATGGCATACAAAAGGAGTATATTTTATTAAAAAGAACTGACTGAACAGAGTGAATATATTCACCTGGACTGAAATACATGCGTTTTTTCATCCACGGCGCATGCCAAATTAGTTTAATCACGTCTAACAATTCTGCTCTCGATGCAGACCAATACTTACTCAATAAACTAAACATTTGAAGCCATTAATAACAATTTCTTGTGATAGATAAGCAAATGTATATAAATACTTGTAGAGGGGGACATTAATGTAAAGATTCTATTGCAAATTCATGTTATGGTCTATTCTACTTAGCTAATGAATCATTCCCAATCACTGTGAGCACATATTTCCACTAAACTCATAACCACTCAACTTTTAGCACTGGCTAATTTGAAAGAACAGAGATTGCACAGTTTTGGCTAAGTTTTTTGCTGTCCACAGAAAAATCTCGCCTTTTGGTTTTTAGTTTTTGTTTTAAATATGAATTGATTTTAAAGCCATGTTAAGTAAAAGCTAATTTTGAAGAGTAAAAAAAAATCTCAGAAATATCTTACAGTAAAACCAAGCCATGTTTTGGAAGCCTAGAGAAACAAATAAATGGAGAGACCCCAAACAGTTGAGCTAAGCAAACTTCTGCTGTGTCAGTTCACAGGAACCTATGATTTCTGATCCAAACTACTAAGATTATCTTCATCAACACAGAAAAGAAAGTGGAAAATACTGCCATACCGAGTCAGATCACTTTATACAGTTCCATCTGAAAGGACAGATATTTTGAAGCTCTTCGATAGAATAAATGCATTGCCATCAACTAATATAATTAACAATTAAATGCCCAATAAGGTACACTCATAAAAATAAATCTTTAAGACCAGATGAAATTTAGCAGTTTGGTTGAATTCTACAGCTGAGACAGAGAGTTACAAAATCTTCCATATGACAAGAGATTGTACTTTATGTGGAGCACTTCGCTAAATAAAACTGTTACAAGTTCAAAATGTGGCTGGCACTACACTGAAATCTAGTCAAACAGGACCAGATTTATAAGCTGTCTTTCAGTTACTGATTTGAAAGTGAATTAAAGTTGAAATTGGGACCACAGTTCATTATTTTTTAATTTTTTTTAAATCTTGTAGTACAAGACCTGTGCTTGTATCTGCTTTATTTATTTTGGTGTATGTGGGGATGTGATTCTTATTTTTCCACTCTGAATCAATTGCAATTTCAGCAAAGATTCTATAGAGAATGCTGCAGACAAAGGTGACATCTGGTTTGAATCCAGCTGTGAAATAGTTAGAAATGAACTCATCTCAGCTGATAAAAAGAAGCCTTCTATCTTCAGTCTCTTTTTGGAAAGTCATAATACAAGTGTTGTTAAAGGGTTTAGTCTGAGTTTTTGTTTGTTTAAGTGTGGAGGCATTGCAAAGCCTCTCTTGCATTAAAAATGCAGGTGCCTCCATTTACCTGGAGAAATTTTAGCTTAAAATGCCTGTTTTAAACAGTTTCAGTTAGGGAGACACAGACATACCTTGTGCTTTTACAAAGCACTGACAAGAATAGGGAGAAAATATGGCCTGCCTTAACTGATGGTGCTTGTACTTTTTGCTGTCCTTAAGTTACAGGCTAACAAATACTACCTTGAAATTTCTAATTCAGGTGCTAGTGATAAGCAACAGCTTTTATTGACCATGTTTGCAACCATACAAATCATAGAATGGTTTGAGTTGGAAGGAACCTTTAAAGATCAGCTAGTTCCAACCCACCTGCCGTGGGCAGGGACATCTTTCCCTCACTAGATCAGGTTGCTCAAAGCCCCGTCCAACCTGCCCTTGAACAATTCCAATGATGGGGCATCCACAACTTCTCTGGGCAACTTCTTCCAGTGTCTCAACACCCTCATAGTAAAGAATTTCTTCCTTATATCCAATCTAAATCTACCCTCTTTCAGTTTAAAACCATTGCCCCCCGTCCTGACACTACAGGTCTTGGTAAAACGTCTCTCTCCATCTTCCTTATAATCCCCCTTTATATATTGATGGATTTGGAGCCAAAAATCTCATAAGCCTGAAGTCAGCCAATATTCCAGTAGGTACTATGTGCAGTTTGGGCATCAGCTATTAGAATGAACCATCACTTTTCACACATTTAGTCAGAACACTTAATTAGGAGCATGTAGTAAATTCAACCTGTTCTACATTGGGTTAGGAGTTTGGAAGTGTTGGCCAGTCTGTTCTCAAAATACTTTGGACAGTTCATTTCCTTTATTCCTTTACAAAGTCTTGACCATAGTACCAATGGAAACCATTTTGCCACCATGTCTTTTGCACTTGGCAAGATAAGTCATAACAAGATTCTGTTGTACAAGAACCTTCAACTCAACCATTCTCATATTGCCAGTCACCTCTAAGATCCCTCCTTCCATCACTTGTCTAAGAAGCTGTGTTGAAAACTCAGTAACTTGGATCCAAAGCATGGATTCCACCTCCCCATCCTGTAACCATATGCTATTCCTTAAGTGGTAGATGGGTAGATGTTCTTTCCTGAAATTCCTAGGGAATATATAAGTCAGCAAACTAATACAATAAAAGCTCTAAGATTCATTGGCAAATGACTGAGTTCGCAAAATAATGGTTGTCAGTTTAGTAATAGGACTGACTTTCATTATATTATCTATTACAGAAATTCACTTACTTTATAATTTGATCAGGTACTGCCTTATTTTTGAATCTAGGTTGCTCCTCCAGGACTGGTTGCACTGTAAAACACTGGATATCTGAAATCATGAAAGTTAAGGGCATGTTATTAACTATCCGTATGAAATACTGTAGGCTGCAGGGAAATAAAAAAACACAATAATAATAAAAAAAGACATTTTCTGATGAAAAATCTGCAGGGTTCAGGATTTCATTTGTGGAGCTTTCTTGGCCAAAAAAAGGAAAAATCTGCCAGTAGTAACCAGTGAATATATATTAATATTAATTTTGAACTGCATATTTTTATTATTTACGGAGCTTGAATATCTGTAGCTGAATTTATCACATTGAATCATTCACTAAATTTTAAAGCCCAGCCAACTTACAAAAATACCATCAACAACATCTGATGTTAACAGTTTCACTATTTAGCTTTAGGCATGCATAATGTCATGATGTTTAGCATTTCATCTTTGAAATCAGTAATTGAGCAGCCATTTTACTTAAGACTTCCTTTGTCTATGGAAGTATTATTTTTTAATCTGAATACTGTATTTGTAATTAAATATATCATATTCGTAAATATTTCAGTATATTTGAAACTCATGCCCTCTGGTTAGATTCCACAGTTTTTTCTTAAGTGCATAAGTAGTGCATATCTCCTGTTAGTTGCAAATAGACTTGAGCAAATTCTACTTCAAGAAAGGACTGAAGCATATGATCTCAAAAAAAAAAGTTAAGACACAAGACAGACTTATGAGAGCTTGGCTCTCAAGCTTAATGTACTATTTTAGAAAAGCCTGTAATACTCTCTGCTTCAGTGCCAACAGTGTGAAAAGAAAGCAGTATTCCTTTTCTCCTCCAGCCCGTTCCATCAGAATAGACTCAAGAGAGCATGTGAAGTGTTACAAAATTACCTTGAAAATTAATAAAGGAAAATCAACACATGAAAAAAAAAGTCTGATACAATGAGGTGATCTCTTATCTGCTCAGCCAGTAATGATTTAAATCAGAACACGAAGAAAAAGATAATGCATGCAAGCAACTGTTAGAGTACTTCTAAACAAGAACAATTTAGGGCATTTTAAAAGGTGGTTAACAATGTTTATGAGTTAATTTTCCTAGGAAAATTTCTGAGAGTGACATAAGGCATGTTTATGTTGCCAAGAAATACAGGTGATACCCAAGTGCAGTACCAGTCAGACCAATGTTCAAGGAAGACATGAATTTAATATCATGACACAACAGCTAGGAATGTGAAGTAGACAATTTGCTGCTTTAAACTTGGCCAATTCAAGCGTTCATCGCTGTTTTTGCCATTTGAAGAAAATAAAGGTAAAACCATGTATGAACTTGAATGAATTTTCTTCACTGAAATGGCTATCAAGCACTGGAACAGGCTGCCCAGGGAAGTGGTTGATTCACCATCCCTGGAAGCATTTGAAAGACGTGTAGATGAGGTGCTTAGGGACATGGTTTAGTGGTGGACTAGGTTTATGATTAGACTTAAGGGTCTTTTCCAACCTAAATGATTCTATGATTCTACGATGACTGAAAGACACAGACTCCTTAGAATTGTGACAAAAACAGGAGCAAACATCTTAGGAACAAACCATAAAAGACATGCAGGACAGGTAAGTAAAACTGCAAACTGAGCTGCCACATTAATCAACTTTCATCTTTTTTTGGAAATGATTGTTCCACACAGATAAACTCTTGCTAAAAACAAGGTTTGCCCAACCCGCCTTCATTCTGTAACCTCCCACGTGTTTAAGGATACATTGACCAGGAGAGTTTTTCACATCCTCTCCAGGTGCTGAGGTGGTGTTCATCTTCTCTGCGCTGGGAAACTGACTCATCAGTTGTGCCTGGAAATCCTCTCTCCTCTCATATTCCTTCCCACGATAGATGAATACTTTGTTCTGTAAGGAATAAATAGCTGATTTCTTGGGCTGTATGATGCTGAGGCAGAAGTTATAGATGCATGTTTATCAGTACAAAGACACAATGGGGTCTCCACATTTTGGAATGAGTGTTACTGTCTTCTGAATATTACTTAACTATAAAGCACCGTTTTGACCAGGTGCTGGAATGCAGCTCTAGAGACCCTACTTTATGCTATTAGACAGAATGAAGATAAACTGGCATCACCACTTAGGATGCTCCTGTAGAACAGAACAAAATCAGCATAGGAGGTAAGAAAAGTACTGAAATTACTTTTCTTCTTGTCTGTCAAGTAAAAGGATTTGCTTTTAAATACATTCTGGGTCCAGGTTTCACAGCTTTTTAATACCAATATATAGGTTTCCTCTGCCTGCTCCTTCTCCTTGGTATTATGCAATGTCCTCATTTACAATACAGTCGAACCCCAAATGTGCTCATTCGTGGTTCAGTTTGCTTCATTTAACAAGATACTTCTACAACACCAGAAACAAAAGGTGCATGCTTCCTTTGGTGTAATATTAGCATATAGTTTCACTATTTTTCCAATGTTTTCAAGGCAACTTTGGCCTTTAAAACTGGGAAAGAGGTGTCTTTCATTGCTTTTCAAGTGGGAGGAAAGCTACCATATTCATTGCAGTATGGAAGAAAAGATTTTTTTTTTCTACAAGAAAACTTCAAATATTCAGGTTAGTTTTATGCTCTGAAGACATGCACTACTGTGGTTAAAAGAAAGCAATGATATTTAAAAAAACGGAAGTAAAAGCCAGTTATGCATGACTTCCTAAGTTTGGCAGGTTTCTTGAAAAAACAGACCCTTTGGATTCTTGATTTCTCACACGCTCGTCAAAAATGGAGAAAAGTAAAGAAAACAGAGAGTAGATTCAGTGTATAGAGGTCTGTTTAATGAAAACAGTTCAAGCTTACCATAATTGTCCTAAGATATTAACTAGCTGTTACCATTCAAGAAAAAGAGAGTAATACAAGACAGTTGGTACGAACATGTCAGCTCAATGCATATTAGAGATCAAAAAAGCAATCTAAACTTCAGTCTTTACGAGGAAAACAGGAAAACAAAAGAAGAAACATCAGCATCGCACTAAACAAATTCATAGTGTATTCACATTTCAAATACTATGTACACTTCTTGTCCTACCATCTCATGAACCAGAAAATGGACAGCAAGGGAACCAGCATGTTAAAACATATGGAATGGTTGCTGTGGAAGCAATGTTTAAACAAACCAAGACTATAAGGAACAGTATGTCATGAACGGCATGAGGAAGGTGATTAAAGAACAACTGTTCAGTCTCTCTGTAAGAACTAGTGTAGAGAAATTATCAGATGACAACGAAGAGGCAGCAGTGAATCTTCAACACACACAGTTGTGTAATGTGAGGCCACAGTATGTTCTGGAGGGCATCAGTTCAGAAAGCAACTGGACAAATTCACCACAGAACAATCCATGAAGGGCTAGAAAACAAAATTGTCACCTCCAACCCAGGAAGCTGTTTATCAGGTAAGTAGGGAATATATACCAGCTCAATATCACTACACACCTGCTCTATATTATACTCTTCCCTACCCTACTTATCTACTATTTCCCACTGTGAAAGACACAATATTTGGCTATAGAGTGCATTCGTCTGAAAAATACACTGTTTCTACATTTGTAATGTATTTGAATTGTAGCTGAAAGGCAATACAAATCCGAAATGCTTGTCAGTTCATGATAAGGTCCACTAAAAATACCAACTTCATATGAAACAGAATTTTTTATTTAATTTGAACACAAGTTAGTTAATGACATTCTACTAGTTATCAATACCCTGTGTGGGGACTCATCTAAGAAATATGTACCATAAGAGCTGCCCATACCAAATTACATCATATTGCTGCATTTGGCTCTCATCTATCACCCTCACTTCCTGATGCATCTTCTAGTCTCCACAAACTAAGAGAAAGAATCAACTTAAATGCATCTGGGTGTATTTCATGCATATTCTTACAAGTAACAATTCAGATTTTGACTACAGTCCTGCATCCAAGCAAAACTAAATCCATGGCAAATATCCCCAGAGACTCACTTACATTCGTAGAGTACACTCATATTCTTAGAAGCATATGAAAATAGATGAAAAACATAAGAATTTAAACAGGTTTACCCTTAGAAATGTGGGGAATCCTTGGCCATAATACCCAACAGCAAAATAGTCTGGTTTAGGTCTCAGAATTTTCATGATGTTTTCATAGAACTTTGCTTGTTGAATCTGAAAGCAAAACCAACTGCAATTACTTCTGTTTGTGGGTTTTTTCCATTTATTTTTTAACTTCTACAGTAGTACTACACTATGTACTACAGCTATCAGTGGACATGCAAGAGCTATCCATTATCAGTTGGTAAGCTATAGCAATCATCAGTTAGCATGCACATGACACTGCTGTGGTACATTAAATATTGTTTACATTTATATGCAAATATAATACTTAGCTAAATGTGTATGGCTTCAACTTTAATTATTTGACCTCAGAATCAGGCTTACCCTTAATTTACTAGCATAAAAAAAAAAAAACGCAAACACCAAAGTCATACTTAGCACTTTACACTTTAAACACTTAACTGATAACGTTACTGAAATAATACATTTGGAAAAACTCCCTTCCTCAAATGTTTTCTGAGGTATGGATCGACTCAGACTTCTGCCCTAGCATCATGCTAAGGACACACACCATGTAAAGGGTTTAGAACAATGACTTCCATAAAATACTAAGTGTCATTTAGGTTTACTATTTTTATTTCCTGTTATATCTATGAGACATGCAATACTGCAACTTAAATGGAATTAGCAAAAATACTGTCTTTATCTTTTAGTTTACAGTAAAAGCAGAATTGACTGGGAGGAAAAGAAGCTTTCTTTAAACACAACACTGTTCAAGAACATCATGTTTTGATTCCCATGGTTTCTTTGTTCCCTTTGTTCGTTCAGGGATATCTATTGAATGAGCCCTAAACTTTTGTTAAAGATCACGCAAGTGTGGAATCTTGGGGGTGGACAAAAAGAAGGTATGTGGGGGAGGGTATTCTTTTTAGATTAATTCCATTTTAATAAAAACAAATTAACTGAACATTTAATCTTCCTTTAAAATCTTCCTTCTAGCCTTTGGACCTAGTTCTAATTCCTTGTGATGTATTACTTGTCCAGCCCCTGATCAGGACAGAATTCTTTAGGCTTGTCAAGATTTGAGTTCCTAAAATTTAAAGAAAAATTTCAGGGAAAAAATGCACCCAGGTGCTTTTTCTACCCTAATGCAGTACAAAGGCCTCAAAACCCTGTTATATTTCTTTTATATGTGGCCTTTAAATTGCGCTAAATGAGAACACATTTATTTCATCTACAGAAGTTTCAAAATATCTCAATAAGCAGATGTCCATGCAACTTTACCAACAGTTCTTTATGAATCTCTATTTTACCACTGGATTGTTACAATAAAACATAGCAACTCTTTGACAAACGAATTAAAAATCAATTGTAGACAACACACTTATATGCAGCTCTGTCATTTGATAGCTTAAAAGTACTAATTTCTGTGACTGAAATAATTTGAAGACCTGTATATAATCTTACCAGGTTTTGACTTAGAAGTTCATAGTCAAAAACTTCCTTTTCATATTGCTCTGCAAGTTCTTTGCATAAAGATATGGCTTCTTCCCACATCTGCAATGCAACCACATATTCAAAAAGTAAATCCAATACCGAAAAAACAAGTTTTTAATGCTTCATTGTTTAACTACAGTTTTATTGATTATGCTATCTTTAAATTGCAGTCATTTATTAACTGCACATTTAGAATGGAAGACTCAAGGTAATCATAAACTTTAGGAAAGCAGATTAATGTGAAAAATAGAAGTGTTTTATGGTTCATTACAGGAAGGAATAAGTAAACCTACTTTATTCTTACAATAAGATAATAAAAAATCACCTAACCTTTCAGCTACATTAAAAAAGAAGAGTAAATCACTAAGGTGCGTAACGTCCAGAATATACCCCAAACATAGGAGCACATCTGCCTCTCCTTAAAACAAACACACTCAATTTTACAAGAAATTCTGAAGCATACATAATTCATAGATAGCCTTGCATATGACAGCTCTCCTAGTCAGCTAAAAAATTACAAGACTTAAATTGCCACTTCTCCAGAGTAGCAGCTTGTTTCTTTCCACACAACTTAATAGCTACTCTGAAAATTACCGTGAGGAATTACAGAGCTGCATTGGAAAGACTAGGGCAGTTTTTCTCATCTGCTGTAGGCACTTAATATATGCAGCACAAAAGTGGTCTTAAAGCAGATAGAAACTCCCTCTCTTGAGGATATTTCTCAAATTCTGTCAGTCTTCTCATCTATTCAGAATGAAGGAGACAAAAGGGGGTTTCGGGCATAATTCTCTACTGATGTAAGGCCACTGGTGGTCACACGCATTATGACCTTTTTTACATGGTGCCAGGTACTCCTAGGCTAGGTAGTTCTGAACCTGACCACTGCATTCAGCTGCCTGCAAACCTCCTCTGATGTACCTGAGGAGAACCTGAGTGCTAGATAGATCAGAAATCCTGAGGATTTGATTATTCTGATACAGTGGGTGCAGACTGCTACATTGTAGTTATTTCAGATGCTAACAAAAAAAACCTGAGAAGTTATAAATAGCACTGCATTTTCCTGCACAGTGCTGAAGCACCAAAAACTTTCTACTTTCTGAATTATAGGAGGGACTTCTGTGGGGGAGTTATGCCTTTATTTTGCAAGAAGCAGCAATGAATTGCCTTCCCCCTTCATACCTTTGGCTACAGCTGAACAAGACATAAGGACTTAAAGGCCTTATTGGGTTATAAGATTCATTATCCAGCACAGCAAAATTTTTCCCTGCTTTCTAGTCCTTTGCTTTATTTTCAAAAATCTAAGCTCTTCTATCATTGTATTGACAGGCAATTTTATTAACAGTTTTTTTTTAAAAAGCTGAACTAAACCCAGGTACTGAACATCAAACTACTACATTTTAGGTTTGGGATGCAATTCTCAGACTTCTGTGAAACAAGTATGTCCATTTTGAACTGTCTGTTTTTTTAGGAGATAACAACTGAATGGTTTAGAAATACAATCTGTGTAGTCTGCATTCTTTTCCTAGTAGAGGAAAGTACATTCAACATTTTTTATTATTTTATTACTGCCTGACAGAGATGCTTGTGACCAGCATAAACATTAGCCCTCTTCCTTTGTGAATGCGGTTATTGAAAGAATATGTTCATACAGAACAGATATACTCTGTGAATAAGCCTTCAGGACACAATTTTTACTTGACCCACATTTCAAAGAGGATTTCCTGCACAAACGCTTTATACAGAGCATATTCATTAAATACTACTATACAAAGTAACACAGTAAAAAGATTTGTAAGGGGGAAGAACTCTACAGACCTACCTTTCCTTTGTCAAAGTATTCTATGATCTTCTCATACAGATTCTCTTTCAAGTGTCGATAGGTCTGTGAACACTGGAACTCTGTTGACATGACTTGGGGTGCACACTGTTCATCTGACCACTGAGAATAAAAGCACATTAAAAAACCATATGATTTTGGAGTTCAACATTTCACACACATGTTTCCCCCCCCCGCCCCAATGTCTGGTCCCCTGTGCTCTTCTAAGTGTTTTTTTCCCAGTCCTTTTTACCCCTCCACAAAGAAACCGGGAAAGGCACTGGGAATGTTTTCATTATCTCTTCAAACAAGTGCTGTATTTCATGTGATAACCAGGACTAGACATAACATTTTAAAAATCTGTGTTCCTTCCTGCCCCCCACCCAAAAATTTTGGATAAAAATCTATGTAAGGAAATTAGTTCATTTTATTTCCATTATGTCATCTTGATTGATTTGGTTTTGATTTTTTGTATTAGAATATTTGCATATAATATTATCTTTGTCTATACCAATACCTACAATATACCTCATATTTTTATATGATCAGAATAGTCAAAATGAAGTTTAAGCAAAACAGCAATGTGAAAGGCCAAATTTATATGGTTCTGCACTAAAAGAAATTCCGTAAGAAATCTCAAATTTTTGCTAAGGAACATTACAATTTTGAATTTTCCCTTGAAATGGAAATGCATCTTACTGACCATTTCTATTGATAACATCAGTTACAGTGAGCAAACGTTAATTTGGCAGAGTGATCCATATTATTTAAAATGAAAAGTTAGATGTCCCCCTGTGATAGCTGCAAAAAATTGCGTTAGTTTTCATCGTTATGTTTGAGGTAGTAAAAAATTAGCAAAATGAAAACCACATGGAAGTTAAATGGCTTCAGAATTTGCACACAAAGTTCGCACTATAAAGTAAAACTATTTTTGCTACAATGTTTAGCTTTACCAATATGTGGCTTTTAATCACCTTTTGAAAATACAATTTCAACAATTAATGTTATTTTGTATGACCTACTGCAGTATTTTTGACTACAAACTTGAATACCCCTATGGAAAATAACTAGTATGCAATAAACCAGAGGTTAAGACAATCACTTTTTAATTTATAAATTTGAAAATTGCAAAAGCTTATTTATATATTGAGTTTAGAAAATCTAACCTTCAAGAGCCACGTATGGAGTAGAAGGGTATATGCTGCTTCCGTGTAATTCTCACAATCTAAATGAAGATCTCGCAATTTATACAAATATCTGTTAGAGGAGAGAACAAGAATTAGACTAGATATTGACATGACTGGAATGCTAAGTGTCAAAAAAGTTCTAAATAAACTCTGTAATGGAAACTTCATAGACATCATGCAGTCACTACCCAAATCATCTTTAGGGACATTCTGAGAGGGGTTAAAGCTCTGTGCATTTGTTCAGACTTTTCTGTGTTCTCTTTGTGTGCTGAAACTTTGTGCACAAAAGGAGGAGAAAGAGCTAACCTCCTCCTGTGAATTGCTGTCAGCTCCACCTCTAAGAGGAAGAGGAAGAACTACTAGACTCAAAGTCTAAGTCAGACCTCCGAGTCCATTATTTCTGGACTGTTACTAAAGATAGCTGCCTTTCTCTGTAGCATTTCTCGATTGCACGTAAACACTTTCCATGTAAATAGATGCAAGCACAAGAGATAACACAAGGTAAAGGAGAAAACGGAAAATACCAGCCCAGAAAGACAAAGCAAGTCCCTGTACAACTTGCAAGATGGTAGAGGCAGAAAAGTTGTTCCAAATTATATGTTGCCAGTGTTCTCCTTGATCCCTAGGGCAGCATTGCTGCTACCAGCACAACCATTGCCCATCCTGTGACTTAAGCCACATCTTTTCCAGCAGCCAGAAAGAAAAAGTGCATCCCATCCTCTTACATGCAACAGGAGTTTTGACACAGGAACTCTGACATCTTGCTGTAGCAGATCAAGGCATTACCATTCCCAGTTGTCAACCCAACTGAAAATGTGTCCCCCTCAGCAATGACTGCAGAGGCAGCATTGTTTCTCCCTGGCCACTCCAGCTCATAGCTCCAGGTTTAGCTCTGAATCACCTTCAGTGCTCATTCCAGCTGAGATTCTGGGCTTTCTACTGCAGTGGCTGAAGTGCAGGTCATTCTGCGGATTTTGCAGAATGAGAGGAGAGGCAGGAAATAATGAGCTTTTGAACAGCAAGATTTGCTGCAGCTCATATGCAAAACTGCTGGAGACAGTAACAGGCCATGTCACATCTGAAAGAATTTGCCAGTATAACTATAGCTCTTACAGAAAAATGCTTTACTAGTAATTCTGCATTGCATGTAGTGTTGCATATTTAAAAAGACTTGGCAGACTGCACAATTCTACAAAACTTGAATGTTTTTTCTGCCATTCTAATCGTATGATACACCCTCTATCAAACCTGAAATCTAGCTGCATTTTCTTTACTTAAAATAATAGACAATGAATGTTGAATGATTTGATCAACTAAAAGTTGATTCTTGGGGAAAAAAATGCTGCTGACGAATACATATGATAGATTCCAAATCACTGAAGGCTAAGCAAACAATGGAGTAAGAATATAAGTGAGGCCAGGGCTACAACAGAGTCATTGTGGACAGTAAACTGACATTAAGTCACAGAAATCCAAGTACAATGATCAAAACAGAATTCATAAGAGAATATTATTGCCCTCTCCAAAACAGATTCAACAAAACAACTGCCATACCTGATATACATCTCTTCACGGTTAATGTCCTTGTAGAAATTCTAGGGACACAAACATTTAAAAGTTATCTCCTAATGTCTTTTGTTAAAACACAAGATAAAAATATATATGCTGAGGTTTTGCTTTTCTTGTTAGTTGGACAGCACAAGACATGTATTATTTACATATATATTTATTAATATATTATCTTACATTTAAACCTGGCACTACTGCTTCAATTAATATTTTAATTAGTTATTAGTATGTGTTATTATTATACATACATGTGTGTACTTCTCCTAGTTCACTAATGAAATCATTAGTGAAAGTTTTTCTGTTGGAGAAGAGGAAAATATGGCTATCCAAATGCATTAACATAACAAACTACATGCTCTGGCTACACTTGATGGCCAGAAAAGAAGCTGGTATTTATTGAAGTTGGTATGTAACACTGTTGTGCAATACCTCCAAAGGGGCTAATTCCAGGAATAAAGCCCATTTTTGTCACTGTAACACTTTTGCAGGTATATGAGTTGCTAGGGCTGTGCAAAATGTATGACAAGAGCTGCCTCCTGAAGAGTTGCAGAAATTTATACCACATTGTGCAGTGATTACTGAGGAACAGAGTGTGTGTGAGTGCAATATGTATTAACGATGTTCTCTTTCCAACCTTCAAAGTGGACGAAGGTTCCTCTTCAGCTACGAGGCATTTCCTGGTGGAGGAATCTCTCTATGCGATATCCTCATTACAAAATAGGAAGAGAAATAAAGACGGGGTGGCCTAGAACCCGATCAGAGACTCAAATCTTCTTGGCACCTTACTGCAAGGGTATCTTGCAGGTTTCTTCCCTAGACTTAAAAACCGTAATTGTTGAGTTGCTAAAGCAGCAAGTGGGTTAGGTCCTCATGTAAACTTGATTCTGGCAAAAGCCCAGTTACATTAAGCCTATCAAAAAGTAAAGGTATATGAACAGTAGACTTCCTTATTTATCCACAGAATCAAAGTGGATAAAACATACAAGCAAAACCAAAGAACTGAGTGGACGTTGCTTTCAGGTTTGTGCATATATCCATGCAAATAGATATAAAAATCTCTTGCCTCAGAGTTTAAGTCACTATTGAGCATTGTCAACTCTCCTATCCCCAGGAAGATTTACCTTCATCTTTAGCAAATGGATTCTAAAGGTCTTCCCCATTCTCACACAAGAATTACAACAGAGAACATACCAGTAAGTTCACAGTGCAGCTCATGCGATTGTCCTTGCTTTCATCATTCATCACAGTTCGGTAATCCAGCAGTTTCTCCAAGAGGCCTTTAACTAGGCTAACAAAACTTTCAACCAAGTTAAAAATGCCAGGATACTGACACGCACACTCTGTAAGACTGCAAACACAAAAAAATGTTTTTACAATACTGTGAAAGTTAGTGGCCCATCAGCTGAAAAACTGTTGGGACCTGAAGGCAAATACTGTATTAGTTAATGCAACTGCAGAATGCACTGGAAACTCCCTTCGTGGGTTGGTAATTTAGATATCTTGAAGACAGATGGGATATAAATCAAAATTGAAAAATGAAACACCTACTTTTCCTGCCTGACAGGAAATTCTTCGAAGATATTTGAAGAATGACTTCAAATTCAAGGATATACCCACAATTTCAGAACGGAGCAACCTGCATCTGTGGTATAATAAACGCAACTCTCTGGAATGCCACACTATTGCAAGAAACATTAGACCTTCCTTTCCTCTGTTATCGTGCGACACAAAATGCAACAATTATTTCCTTCTCTTTGTACAGTTACGTGTGAGTAGAAAGTTCAAACTAACATAAATTACAATTTTAAGTCAAAAAAGACATCCATGAACAAGACCTCACCAGAGCAATTTGCCCTTGAGAAATAAGCAAAACTAAACAATAAACTTTCTGCAGATTAAAAAAAGGAGTTAGTTCTCTTTTGATAAAAATATAGGAAAGTGGGTTTTATACATCATAGCAGATTCCAAGCTACATTAACAAAATATTAGCATATGCTCTTTCTATAAAGTGCTGAAGTGATTTAGGAGTAGATATTTCACATAGCTTTGGTTTCAAAGCTTAACTGTTTAAACATTATGAAATGATTACCAGCATCTCATTAATGATTATTTTCTTTCTTTGCTTAAGAGCTTGTTTCCTCTCCTTAGCATTCTGGTTTTCCACTGGGATTCTCTCTGACAAACCACATTTTTTATTTACATATATATATACACACACATACACACATATATATATTCACATATATATTTATATACGCATGTATTGGGTCTGGCTGAGGTGGAGTTAATTTTCCCCATAGCAGCCCTCACAGTGCTGTGCTTTGTACTGGTAGCTGGACAGGTGTTGATAACACACCAGTGTTTTGGCTACTGCTGAGAAGTGCTGGCGCAGCATCAAGGCTGTCTCTCATACATCCCCCTCACCCCCAAAGGCCAGTAGGCGGGGGGTGGCCAAGATCTCGGGAGGGGACATAGCCAGGACAGCTGACCCAAACTGACCAAAGGGATATTCCATGCCATATGACGTCTGCTCAGAAATAAAAGCTAAGAGAAAGGAGGAGGGGCGGGTGGACATTCATTATTATGATGTTTGTCTTCCGGAGCAACTGCTACATATACTGAAGCCCTACTTCCCGGGAAGTGGCTGGACATAGCCTGCTGATGGGACGTAGAGAATAAATCTTTCGTTTTCCTTTGCTTCCATGCGCAGCTTTTGCTTTATTAAACTGCCTTTATCTTGACCCGCGAGTTCTTTTCCATCTTATTTTCTTCCCGCCTTGTCCTACTGAGGAGGGGGAGTGACAGAGCGGCTTGGTGGGCACCTGACATCCAGCCAAGGTCAACCCACCACAATGCATATTAGAATATGCACCGCAATAACATGTAAGAATCACCACGTATTCTCACAGGAAAATAGTAAAAACAAACTAGCAATTGCAAAATTATCCCTGAAACTATGCTGTGTGCTTAAGCTGAGCAGTTTCAATGACACATTATTATTAATGTCTGACCTCTTAGTGTTTCGTTAGCAGCGCTCAATTTATAGGCAAATACATTTAATAATTTATTATTAATCTTTAAGTACACTATTATTTTTTAAACTTTCATTATAAAGCATTAAGTTTTAATTAATTGCAAAAATAATTTTTTACTCCTCAGAATTACTTAAACTTTCTTCAGAAAATACATAATCCTATTAACTTCAACTGCAAAGAAATCCTCGAAGTTTTGGCCTAGAATGGGACCTCAGCAAAGTACCCAGTCTCAAAGTTCTAACTCAAGCAAAGTAAAAACAGCACCTAATGTTTATTCCTTTGATTGTACAGATCCAACAGAGTTATTTTGCTGAGACAGAGGGAGTGTGTACATGCATGTCTGAAAGAACATTTATATTGTGCAAGATGTGACAGACAGAGGCTAACAGATAAACAGATAAAACCAGAATACTTTAATTGCTGTTGTCTGACTAGTCTGAAACAATAACTGAAATATTTAAATAAATTATTGAAACATAGCTTATGACATTAAACATACTGCAAATGGAATGGGGTTTGAAGGGTCTGATTAGTTGACAACCGACAGAATAGGCTGGAGCACGTTAAATGATATTCGTGGAAAAGAAAGTAAGAAAGCCTCAGAATCATATAGGAGGACTGGAATACTATACAGGAAAAATGGGGATACATATATAAGTATCAGAAACAGGGTAAGACACTTACAAAGGAAAGTACAGTCACCATTTATGTGACTATTATGAATTTTTGCCATAGGTTCACTTAGAGTGACAGCAAACAAGGCAGACCTATGAATATTACTTGACTGTGAAATGAACATGAGTCACCAAGCATCGCATTTCTTTCCAATACAAGTAGAATAAACCACAAGCTATTGCTAGATCTCACCCAGGATATAGTACATAACTCCAGTCACTAAAGAAAGATGAACTGGAGTACATATAAAGGAGAACTACAAAATGAACAGGAGAAAGGAATACCTGTCTCATGAGGGAAGATTTAAAAAGTTGTCTTGCTCAGCTTGATACAATAATCCCAATAAAAAGGGAGTATTTTTTCCCCCAGGAGGGAGCAAGAAACCTTTGAATTTTTAAACAGAGCTTAAAAAAAATAGAAGTTTTAAAATAAAAAATATTTTCAATAAAGCTCGAGAAAACAACTGCATAACATGGGCCACTGCAATGATGGGGAACTGGAAAGCTTCCAAATGCTCTTTTCTGTTCTGCCTACATTAGTAACTAAAACATGCCAGAATCCATTTTCTGAGCCTGAGGAAAAGTGGCATAGCACAACTTGTATTCATAAAGCTGGATTCTCCTTCATTTCCCAAAACAGGGTAGCCTTGTCTATTCTGCCTATTGAGAACAGCCTCCCATCTGTTCCCTATTATCAACACACAAGACAGTCATTGACTACTGCTAAATATCTGCATTCAGGTGGCAACTGGAGCTTGAATGCGGACAGAGGAAATTAGTTGATGAAAATACAACCAAATGAATAAATCTGAAGCCAAATTTAGCTGGGTCTCTATCCGGTTGAAACAGGGAGTTGGGGATAGAGGCTTGAAATCCCTGCTGTGAAGGTAGGATGATTTAAAACAAAACAAAACAAACAAACAAACAAAAACAACAGAGAGAAGAGAACAGGTCCTACCACAGACAAGTCACCAGCCTCTGCTTTAACTGTCCTTCTACAGGCATAATTAAACAACTTCAAGGATGGAACAAAAAAATATTAGCTGGAGATAATATGAAGTGACATCATTAGAAATGGAGAAACCTTGAATTTGAAGTCTTGTAGAACATGGCAGAGTATCAAGGGGAAAAAAGCCAGTATGTCAAAAAAGAAGGGTACCTTGGAAAGGCAGGAAGATCAAATGCTATGTAGTATGTTTGATGAGACTATTTAACTGCACTACTGAAAGATGGGGTTTAACTGGATAGGTACCAGTTCTCTAGAAAAATGTTTGAATGTAAGAGTAAACTGCAAACAAGACAAGCAAACAATGTTACACAGAAAAAGTAAACTTCAAAGAGTCTCATACACAAGATCTGAAGGAAGCTTTTCCCTTTGCATTGATAGTCTCAGTTTGAATACTCTCTCCAGCTTTAAGGCAATGCAGTGTTTCAAAATAGGTGTAGACATTGTAGAAATGTCCAGAAAACATTGCATATGATAAGCTGAAATATTGAGGTTGTTTACCCTAAAGAGAAGACCAAAGGAAACTTGACAGCAACTTTCAAATTTGTTAAAAGCTGCTGCAAAGAGAAACAGAGTAACTGATTCTTTATGTCCCCTGTGGGTAAAACAAGAAATAATTGGCTTAAACTGAGGCAAGGAAGATTTAGTATGGATATTTGGAAAAAAACTTACTACCAGCAAGGAAAGTTTAGCACTGCCATAAATGTCCACTGTGTCAGCTGAATCCCCAGTATTGGAGATGATGTATTGTAGTGACAGTTCAGGCAGGCATCGTGGTTTAGGCTTTGCAGCAGTGTGATTAAAAAAGCTATGTACTTGCAGGCCTGTTTTCGGTCATACCAAGAGTTAGTCTGAACATCTCTGCACCACCTCTTAGCTATCCTAAGACTTGAAGCTAAACAGTAAACATTCAAAATTGAAAAATTACTTTATTGCTCTCAGTTTACATGGTCACTGCATGTTAGGAAGTGAAAGAGACGTTTTTAAAACTTCATCTGACCTTGCCAGTGTATCAGTTTCAAAGAACAGTTTTATATTGCTTAAAAAGTGTCAGTAATTTTACTTTTTTCAAGTCTGCCTCTCTATATTTTATCTGCCTCCTCATAGGACAGAAATTAAACTAACATAGCAAACATTTAAATTATGTTTCATTTAAATGATGTTTCTTTTAAATTATACTATTAATTAGAATATAATTACATATTGTTTATATAAGATAACACTTACATATTATTATTTATTTATATAATTCAGTATTTCTTACAAAATTATGTTTTCACCTAAAGTAGACTTTTTTCTATTGTGGTATACACAAAGATTTCATGCTTCACCTGGTGAGGTATGTGACTTTGCAAAGACTGCTACCCCCTACACAAAAATACAATATATACAAGGTAGCAGGCTTTGAGAAAGTAAAAAACATACACACTCAATGTCACAAAGCCTATATCGATTTTGTCATGTAGCCAAAGTGCTACAACATTTTTATGCTTAATAACTACTAGGTTATCAGTGCTTGAGAAAGTGTAAGATGAGCGATGTACTTTCTTGCTGTTACAGTCTAAGGCACAAAGCTAGGAACAAATTCTCAGAGGTAGGCGCAAGGATTCCACCACTGCCCAATACATCACACACGCAACCTGCCACAAGTGAAGACACAGCTATTAAGCCTGAGAAAAAAACTGAATGTGGGCAGCCAAGAAGAGAAGTGGATATCAGGCTTTGGGATTGTTAGAAATATAGAAATAGAAATATTTTTATTAAACTGTAGCACTTCACAATATTCTCATTCCAGAATAGTCACTTCATGTAAATCCAGAGAATAATCTCTTGGAGTCCAATCTAGACATTGAGAAAAGCAAGTAAGACATTTTAAAATACCTTCTTCTTATTAGTGTGAAATAAAACCAAGAAAGTTTATAAGGAAAAATGTGGAAAGACTAAAAATGGGTTGAATATTTTATTATCTTGGCTTGAAAGTTGGATAGAGAAATGCAGGTTAGGTATAATTTCTTCATAATTTAGCTGGAGCACAAAATACTGAAAAGCAATCAGGAAAATAGTTTCAATGAGCAAAACTACAATTCCAACCAGGTTTACTGAAACAGTATGCTATTTCCAGTCTCTTCATAAAAAAAGCTGCTAAGATTCTGTTTTATTTTTAAGTGAGGTTACCAACTTGAAAAGTGGGAACAATAAGATAAAAACACATCCTGAAGGCATTTATTCTCATGCACTACTTACATGGACTCAAACAACTGCATGTAGTGTTCATCCCCACGTCCTCCTTCTACTTCATGGTCCAACTTCAAAATTATTTCATTTTCAAACTAATGAAGAAAGAAAAATCAAAACACCAAGCAGATATCCAGAAGTCAAACACATTTCAATATGGCATCAAAAGAATATCTTTGTGTAGTTATATCACATAGTCCCAAGGGTTAAATGCTTGAATATATTCCAGTTGAATAATGCACATTTGACTATCTCCAGATACCTGTTTCTTAGCACAAACTGATAAAATAACCTGAGGAAACAGGCTTACAGTATCTGTATTATGGGTTTTCATAGAACATCTCTGATTTGAAATGCAGATTTCAAGTAAGTAGAATCACTTTCACCCAGATAAAATATGAACAATCCTACAGTATATGCAATACCTTATTTAATTCCTATTTGTTAGGTCTATCTAGACCCTAATTAGGAAACAGTGACATATAAACAAAGACAGCAAACAAGCTATTTTTGTAGTTAAACACAATTCTTTCCCCTCTACTGCATCGTTTTTTCAATTTTGCTTTACAGTTATGGCACCGCTCCATTTGGAGCCATCAGCAGCCTTATTTCTCTACTTGTAAGGTCAAAAAGGACCTTTTTCCCCTCTCCGAATTGAAAAAGAATCTATGCAGCCTGTGTGCCTACAGAGAGAAAACAACTGTTAGTATTTCTCCACTGGTCACATCTTGTTAGCTATCACTAATCAGCCAACTCTTAAAACTCCAAGGCTTCTAGGTTTCCCTTTATCCCAAACTTCGCTTACAGAGAAGCACTACATCCAGTCTGCACAGTCACCCTTGAAACTTCAACCTAATTACCGGGCTCAGTCATTCCTGTAACAAATATCTTGAAGCTGGGTATCTGAAGATGTTATCTATATTATTTACTTGCCGCTCCTGTTAAACCCTGTAACAATCTCTCATATACTCTTCAGGTAGTTTTACATAATTAAGCAAGGGAACAATATCTCACAATATTCAGAAAAAGAGAAAACCTATTTTCAAAGTTTGTCACACAGGTAAAGAAGCTGTTATCTGGGAAACTAATGCTAAACTGCGAAATTGTTGTTACAAATATGCATGCAAATTGTCAATGACAATAGCTTGACATCTTTAAAGCGTAATAAACTTTGGCAACATCTCTGGAGAATTCTGGGTCATATACCGTTAATATACCATAGTAATATACCATTACCTCTTAAAGAAATCAAAGTATATGTTGGATTATATTTTAACCCAGCACTTTGCAGGATCATACCTTAATTATATAAAGCCTCTTCAAAATGTTATTGTGTTATTGCAATATAAATATACAATTGTAATTTGTCATTTCAAAGCCTTTGCAATACATTATACACAGGAAACTGCTTTATCATTTTGAAAGGCTTAATCCAATCTAACATGTTTAGATCAGAATTTGTAATTAGTTTGCAGTGCCTTTACCATATAGAAAACATTTCAGGAATATCAGTTCTTCACAGTGGTTATTTTTCTCACAATAAATATTTAGAAAAGTCAGAGTTTCCTGAGAAACCTGATAATATATAATCAGCTATTCACTGCTACTTCTGTCAGGATATTCTGTATTAAAAATTGGAAGTTTTGGCTTATCAATACCTATGTCACATGGAAGGGGTATAATGAAAGATGAGTGCATTCAGGTTCAGGAAATTAAAACTGTGGAAACTATAATACATGCATATGATTTGTCTGGGGTTTTTGTCCTCCCCTTTCCAAGCACCTTAAAGCATTAAGATTTGCATGTTCGAAAAATGTCCTCAAAGAGTTGATATTTATGTATCAAACTCGTAACAGAAATACAAAAGATTAGGGGTTTTTTTTGTGGGGTTTTTTCCTCAATAAAAAATGAAAAATACCAGTGGAAAATTAAAAAAAAAAAACAACCAAACCAAACAAAACAAAAACCCAAGTAACTTAAGTCAGTTGGAAATTTACTGGGAGACGGTTCCAAGGAAAATATACCCCCATTAATATTGTCCAGTGTAGACCCAGGCATTCTGAACCAAATTACTGTGTGTACTAGCCAGACATGATCTGAAACAATTAAAAAAAAAAAAAGTGTTTTAAAATAACCTAGCTGATTATTAATCTTGGAAAACAGAAAACAAATTAAAATTAATGTAATATAAAAATATTGCATGGCAGAAAATAATTTAATGCAATAAGCTTAGCAGAAATAAATATTAATATTAAAATGCAGTAATTTCACAGATGCTGGATCTGAATAAAAAACCTCTTCCTAAGCATCTTTCCTGCAGTTTCTCAGCAAGCTGCAAAAAAGCCAGTTGCTTGAATGAAAATAAATAAAAAAGCTGGCAGAAATGTAGAAAAAAGTTTTAATGTGTCTGTGTCAAAATTAAGCCCTGGAAGGGGTATTTCTCCTCTAACATAAACAGAGTGTGCTTAACTGTCATTGGCAGTGATTTGGCTTTAAAACCACCTGCTTATCTATCTAATAGATTCAAGAAATCTCCACATGTCTGAACATACTTCAATACCAAACCATAAAACATCTCCATTTTTTATACATGGATCTGTCTGAAGCACCAAGCCATATAAACTGCTAATGGGATGATATCACAACCTTCTGAAATCCTTACGCACAATAAAATTTCAAGAACTGAGAGTAAGAAATATGGGTATTTACAGCAATTATAAATCACGTGTGCCAGAGGAGCTTGCTGAGAATACCTATATTCACTCATTTAGTAACCTTTTACAGCTGTTAGCTCAGAAAGATACGAAACTCCAAAAGGTTCATTAAGAATAAACATCTATCTTCTAGCTCTACCAATAACTATGCAAGCCCAAGAACACACCAGAAATGTAGAAAACATTTTAGGAATGTCAGTTCCTCACAGTGGTTATTTTTCTCACAATAAATATTTAGAAAAGTCAGAGTTTCCTGAGAAACCTGATAATATATAATCAGCTATTCACTGCTACTTCTGTCAGGATATTCTGTATTAAAAATTGGAAGTTTTGGCTTATCAATATCTATGTCACAAGGAAGGGGTATAATGAAAAGTTTAGATTAGAAAAGACCCCTAGAGGTCATTTAATTCTACCTCCTACTTAACCGAGGGCTGACTTCAATGTCATGTCTTGTTGCTCAGAACCTTTTTCAGTAAAATTTTGAAAATTTTGGTAAAGATCCTGCAACCTCTCTGGGCCCCTATTCCAGCGCCTTATTGCTGTCATTATGATGAAAGTTTTACTGAAGTCTAACTAAATCACCCTGAAGAGCTGACACTCACTTGCATTTTACTTTCTGTAAGCAGAAAAGCCCACACAACACATTTACCAGAAATAAACTGACCACATGACATTTTAATGAGTTTTCACACAGAGTATTCTTAATTACCTTTTTGAATTCTCCTGTCCTTTGATATTCACACAGCATCATGTCAAAGAAAATTGGGATTGTGGCCTTTCGTAGTTCAACTTCTGGAATAAGAGTCATTTCCAAGATGGGTCCAACCATCCCCGGAATAAAGCAAATTTTATTCTGGCCTGAAACAGAAACACGAATTGGGTATTTGAGAAGAGAGAAAAAATCATTTTTAGGAAAACATTTAGGACATGCAATCATTTAAAGCAGTGTTTTAAACCACCTATGTTGGTAAAGTCTTACAACATAGTCATCTCTATTCCTTCTCAAAAGCTGAAAGCATGTTAATGGATACAGTCTCATCCTAAGATGCCAGAATTCAGTGCCAGAAATAAGCATGTATGCCAGTTGAGTTGACATTTTCATTGAACATTTCAGTTTTTCAGCTTTTGACATCTCCTTTTAAATACTCAAAGTAGAAAGTAATAAAAAAACCTAAAAGTCCCCCAAATTCTATCAGTAGGAGACGACCACACAAGAATGCCACATGGTGTAACCTTTCTAGCTTATGAAGGAGAAAAACATTACTTGCTTTCATTTCTGAATAACATCAAACAAAAATTTATTGCAACCAATAAATCAAACCAACCAATGCATCAAACATTGCAAGCAATAACAGAAACACTAGCTACACAATTCAACTCCTAAACCCACACAAAATTATCTTGTAGCACAACTGTTACATCAGCTGCCAACAAACATCCAAATCTGCAAAAAACTCAACCAGGTCCCCGATGTTCTTCAAATACTGCTTGTTTCTTTGGGAAGAAAAACATTTGATATGTGGAGCAGACCACCAGCAAAATCCAATAACCTGCGTAAGAATGTCAATAGTGTCTAAAGCTCGTAAGGAGATAAAAATATTCTCATAAACAAACATGACTAGACTTGTTCCATAACTAAAAAGTATTCTAACTCTGATTGTCCTCTCATGTGGGTGCCATACTAATGTAACTCTAACTGAACCATGACTTCAACACTTTTATGCAACCTTATTTTTTCTTCCACTCATGTTGATTAAAATCATTATTAATCCTAGTTAAATCAATAATGTCAATAAGATTGAAAAGAATCTTATGACGACTGAGTAACTTCCAATACATATATGCGTTAGACCTTACAGGTCTGTAATTTTTGAAAACCACAGAAATTCATGTATTACGTAGCTATCCATTCACCTCTAAAAATCTTCACGCTCCCAAGCAATCTTCTCACGTAAGTGGAAAAAAAGAGAGAAACTTTTAGCTAAATGATAGCAATACCTATTGCTTGATCAAGAGATGTAATCTTACTTAAAACCAAAAGACTTCAGCATACAACTTTAAATAAATACATAAATAAAATTTTAAAATTAAGAAAAATCTAAAAAGGCTTTTTGAAGACTATCCTGCCATCAGCAACTGTTATTTCCATTTCAGGAATCAAGAGTAACATCTCCTCAAACCTCACAATGACTGAATGACTGAAATGGACAAAGGAAGATAATCTGCCCCAGAGAACAAGGCAATTCAATTTATAATTTGAAAGGCACTCTAGAGGTCACAGTATGAGATTCTTTGACACGCATTTGCTTGTTTCAATCTTGCTCTATATGTATCCCTCAAATGTGGTTTATACTTAAGATGCTTTACTGCCTTTCAGAATGCAGATTCCTTTTTGTTAAAGCTACAGAAGGAGCCTGAAAATTATAGAAAATAAATGGAAGGGGCATTTATTATTAAGTGGGAATTATTAGTTTGAAACATTTCTCAATCTGTATGCCTCACTTTTTCCATTGGGTATGTAAGATAATAATTTAAATAAAGTAATAAAGCATCTGCATATTAGAAAACAATCCTTTGGTCTTCAACATTATGCTAGACAAAACTGTTAAAGGCCCTTAAATTTTTTTAAAGCCACTCTCAGATTCAGCCTGAGTAGGATGCAAACAGCAAATCTCAAATACACAATAAGTGGAAGAGTACTTCTGCAAGATATGTTGTACTTTGTATTAAAATGAAAACTTGGAAGTTTATTTTAAGAAACAGGTGTTAATGGTTCTAGAATCAAGAGTTCATCTGAAAACAATTAATTTCAAATTTACACCTACCAGTATTAAAAAGGACAACAATGGTGTTAAACTAGAAAATAAATTACTGTGCTAAAAACAGGTTTGAGAGTTCACCAATTAATCAGCAAAAGTATCAATCTTTTAAAATCTTGACTGCATCTTTTTGATTCATCAGAGTATACTGATGCATTAAAAAATTTTTTCAACTAAAAAATACTAAAAGAAAAAATTTAAGAAAAGAAAGATTGAAAGGAGTATTTATCACCAGAAGGAGTATGTGCAAGGTGACGAAAACATTTAAAATCTCCAGGCAAGCAGTGATACGCTGGTACACCTAGGAAACTAGAAAGGTTAATAGAGATCATAAAGAAATTTCACATGTTCTTATAGAAGAACTTTGCAAAAATTTTCCAAGATAAAACAAATATTCTACATAAGTTCAGTTAATAAGAAACAATCCCTTTCAGTGTATTTTGAAAATCATAGCTGGCTTCCTTGTGTAATAATACAGGGTGATATTATGGCCTCTCCATAGCTTATTTTACCTTGCAACATGGCTGTCAGAGGTTCAAACACATTGCAAAACTTACTTCACCAACTCAGGGGTGAGAGCAAAGGTAACTAGTGGAATGTGAACACGTTAAAAGGAGAAAGAGGGAATTACTTTTGCCTCTACAGCAGGCACTGACACCCCATGGAGGGAAGAAAATGTCCCCATTTTGAGATAATGTTTCTTTGCAATAAATATAGTATATCAGGGAGACAGGGATGTGTGCTGCACTACACTGTATTTAGGAATAAAACAATAGATTGCATGGAAGAGGAAAGCATACAACATGCTATCCACCTTAATTCTGTATGTTGATGTCTGTATGGAATAAGCTGTATGCTATTCCATGCTCAAAGCTGAAGAGCTGTCTTTCAGTGATAACACTGACACTATCCCAGTGGACATTCCCTTCTGGTATAAATTTCTGAATAATGTTTTACTCTTTAACCTAATAGGACCTTCAAAAAACTTTTTCCCCTCAATATATCTCGACAATGCCTTGCTGGCATTTTTGCATAAGTAACAAAACGTTCATTGGAAGAGAAAAGGAAGATGGATCTCTCTTCCCCTGCCTCAGAGAAGCTAAGGCTCAAGTTCATCTTCAAAATTGATCACAAAAGCCATCTTCAATATCCTACAAAAGAGCTGAACTATTGGGTTATTGCCTATTTGGTGCAAATCATAAACTCGAGACTTCATCAGCCCACAGAAAGAAAATAATATCCTCTATCAATAGAAACTTTCCTGCAAAGTCTAATTGAAATAAAAACTTGAAAAAATTTGCCTAAAAATTTAAATAGAAAATTCCTCGATCAACTCACAGACAGAATGAACAGAATGTAAAAACCTGGTTCATCTGTACACAGTTACTTTGCCTAGCAGCTCCTTGAGATCAATAAATTGAGTAGTTATGAAGTTCTTAACATTCTTCATATTCTGCTTATGACTACTTGGTATTTAGTTCAGAATAAATTCTGCCTCCCATTCACTCCCAGCCAATCACTTTAAATCTTGCCTTGTATTCATGAAGGTGACCCTTTTTATTGAAGTTTTATTCAAATATCTTCAATGTGGGTATATTTTTCATAGAATTTTAATAACATGCAAAAAATATTGATACTACTGGAGAAAAATGCTCTTTTATTGCAGGCACTGAGAAGATTCCACACCATTCTTAAAACATAAGCTTCTGATACATAGAGATTACACAAGTTTTCCTGGATGAAATGACTGCATTTTAGCTGAGTTAGGAAAATGAGCACCTCAGGAAAAAGGGAAAAATGCTATTAGCTATGCTCAGCACTCCACTGAAGTGGCACATAGGAACAAAATACCAGAACTGGCTTTTGGTCAAGAGATCTCAAACAGACAGAATGGTTGTAAAGCCTTTTTCTCCGTCTTCTCTATGTTAATAAACTGATGAGATCTAGTCTTTTCATAATTAACTGTCTGAAATTTGACATTCAGCTTGCATTTCAAAGTATAATCATAGGTATCATCATAATTGTCTTCATTGTGTATTTCAAAAAACCTCTATAATACATATTTTCATAGAACAATACGTTGCTGTTCCCTTTATTACGAACCCTCAAAGGAGCAGTAGCAGAACATGGCTGTGCAACAAATGTAAAAATATTTTGGAATTTTAATCCAAACAGATTCCAAATCTGAGCCTACTAATTTCTGGAACTGTAGATTCAGACTGAGCAGTAACCTTCTCAGGGAAAATTTATCTGGTTCTCAATTTCAGCAAAATAAGGTTTCTGAAATCTTCTGATTTCAGCCATCTTTGAAGTCTGAGAGAAGGTTGTGGGTTCTCTTAGAAATAAAAAATAGGCAGTAGTCAAACAGTATCTCATGTCAGTTCCAAGCTCAATCACAGGAGTGAAAACATATTTTACGTTCAAATAGCAGAAACATTTACAAAAGCACTTCATGTCAGACATTTTTCAATGAAACAAGCAATATACTACGGATTCAATTGCAATTAAGTTAATTTGTCTACTCACCAAGTTTGTACCACATGTCACGGATAGCAAAGCCAATTAAACGTCTCATATCTCCATATCTAGAAAGAAAAAGAAATATGAAAGGTATTTTTATCATTATCTTTATCATCATTTTACTACAAAATTAAAGACATAAGGTAAAGTATACATTTTTGCTTACTTGTTCTGGATTTTGTTGTATTTTGCATGGGAAAAGTTTTCTAGCTGTAGTGAATCTTGGGTAATAAAAGCCACAGCCAAATGAAAATAGTTGTTCCACAGCTGTAAATTGAATATAAGGAAATTATAATAGTTTTGAGAAAAGCAGGAATAATATTAAGCTATGCATAATGCTGAATAATTTATGAAACCAAATGATGCAAGCAATATGAGATTTTTATATTATGCAAAGATGTACGTCATTAGTATTATGCAATTAGCAGAAAAGCAAGAAAAATGAATTTTAATAACCACTACTACACATTTGCTCTTAATAACACAGCAGCTGAAAAAGTATTGCTAAAAAAAGATTCATATGAGATTCATTAGCTAACAACATTAAACCATGAACTATAGCAGGACTAGTGACATACATTACATGCCAGTGAATCTTAACAACTTGGAGCTAAAGGCATCCAATGTAATTACACTGTATTTGAGAACTACTTCAAAAGGCATCTACTGTCTTCTCTTTGGATTCTAATTCAACGATTTGTGTGAAATTCCAATATATTTTGTTAAGAGCTCTCTGCATGAAACAAGGACAATATACATCCCTAAAAAACTACTAATAGTACTGAGTCATGTACTTGAACTAGAAGAAAAACCCTTATATTTCCAGTGCACAACGTTTCTGAAAGCAAATTATTTGTTCTCCAGACAATCAAAATGAAGTACTTCTCTCACATGCTAGAGATGGAAAGGGAAAAAAGAAACTTCACTAGGAAACACAAATTCAAGGAAGTAAATACTATTTTCAGAAGCTTCTAAGCAGTCAGCAATGGCTTTAGACACTTGCTTTAAAAATGTAGCTGCACCTAAAAATATGTGTGGTAGGTATCAGTGAGACAATAGAAAGGCAATGGTAAATGTATTCAGTGGTAATTTAAAGGACAGAAACAAAACATACAAGATTATTACAGAGCTCTTCATTTTGTATGGTGAAATACAACCCTAGATTGGGAACCCACACTAAAGAGACTAGAAATACAATGTTTCATCAAAAACTTAAGTGACCTCTGTCCTTTATAACCTGGAAAACTCTCTTGTGCACAAATAACCAGGAAAAATAGATACCAGCACACAAAAACACACACAAAATTACAGACATTTCCTATAATAAATAAAATTCTCAAACATCCTCTATAATGTGAAGAAGATCCTGCATTTAATTTATTCCTTCCTTCGAGGCTCAACTCCAGCTCTCCTTAGCAGACTTGCGTATTTAAAAGCCCTTAGGTGGTCTGTTTCTATCTTTACGTATTTACAGTCCAGAGAGCATAGTTATCCCTCGTGCAGATACACAGACTCAAGTAGCATTTCATTGGAGACAGTTATTAATCTATTACGTATTCGACCATCCAAAGATGCTCTGAATTCACCCAAACCAATCACAGCCTCATTAAAAACTACATTTGAATATGAGCACTAGTAAGGCAGCAGCTTTTTTTTCCCCTTAATACAAACATTTAAATTATATTCATATCTAATTTTTGACAGTATACTAATAGTACATACTAATTCAGAGCCTTTTTCCCCAGTATAGATGTTATTTATGCCCTGAAAGGCCTGTTTTCCCCCCTTATCAAAGATTTTAAAAGATTAATTTGATCAATTTAGTCCCTTGAGAAGCTATACTTATTGATGTGTTTTTTTTTTGAATATACTTTGCATATGTCAATTACACCAGTAAAATGGAAAATTTCTCAAATTGTTCTAGATTATGGGGAGAAAAATGAAGCCTTATTACTAGAGTTAATGGTCTATTTATTCATTTAATAGCTCCAAGTTCAATGCCACCTTTGTCAGAGACACACCCTAAAGACTCAATATCCTTATTTATAAAATAGATTTCCTTCATCCTCAGAGTACCCTATGATGGCTGAAAAAATATGATCCTTTGCATTTCAATGGCGTATTCAAGTTAAAGACTTGCAAGCTTTTAATACCAAAACTAACTTTAAAACCCTGTGAGGCAAAGTAGTTTCTCAAAAGTAAAAAAATGGCAAAAGCGGATAGAAACAGATTTTAAAAACGCAAAAAACCACGCTTATGAGACCTGTTTTGTTTTCTCTTAAGCCCACAATAACATTCCAAGACACTTTGAATTTGAGCATCCATTTATCTAGCATGTGGTAGGGCTGAAGTGAAGTAGCACAGTGACAGGAGAGGACCAGTGCTCTCGTGCTCCGATTTGTGTGATACTCACGCTTTGCTGCTTGTTGACATGAACTCCAGTGCCAAGTTGTCAGCTAGGGACAGAGTACTGGGAGACAAAGCTAGAGCCGAGAAGTGACCCTTCTCTGTAATTAGTTATCAATTATTCATTGCAAACTCCTACTGAGATGCAGCATCTGACAGTAACAGCACAGGCTGGCTTAGTCTGTTGTAACACTTCAAAACACAGCAACTGAATTGGCCGAGCATGGTGTTACCACAGATGCTGAGCGGACTTCAGATCTGTCAATACCCCTCTATACAAGGGCTAAGGCAAGTTAAAAGAAGAGGATCTCTCATTCCATTTTTTTTTCAGAAAACACGAGGTGCCTTCCCCCTAGAAAATGTGACAGCTGCCGTAATGGAAAACGTGGAAGTAATTTAGTAAGCAATTTCTAGCCATCTCACAAAGGAGAGGAGATCTGCATGATTTTTCAGGATAACTACCAGAAGTAAACACTGCTGCCTCCTCCTTCATACACACCTCTGAAACCAATGCCTTTTTTGCACTAATGCCTATCTTTTAGCCATTGTTTTCTCTACGGACATCTTTGCTCGATTCTTTTTGATAATGGAGGAGAAACAGGAAGTCTTTGGAAGACTGCTGAATTTCTGACAAATTAGTGCAGATACTAAATGTACTCCAGCATTTCATAAAACAGACGACAGTTTGGTTTAATTTTTTTTCTTAAAATATTATGGTGAAAGTAAGCTCAGCTCCTTGAGACCAGCAGCCATAATACATTTCAGATAGATACTGGGTACATTACTTCAATTTTGTAGAAAAATGGCACTTTTAAATTTTCTGCATGTATGCATAATTGCAAACTACATCTAGTTACCACAGCGATTGAGCTAGGCAAGCTAGAAATAAGCTTTTTGAACCTTTGGATAACATTTATAAGAAATGATCTCTTGATTTCCAAGATATATGACATTCTCAGTATGTGATGATTTTACGTCAGTAATGTTCTCTTTCACATACTGAAATACATTTCTTCGTCACTTAAAACTAAGTAATTTAAAAGAAACATCTATTTTTTCTATTTTTGTGAGCCTTTTGAGGTCAAACAATTTTAAACAAATGAATAGCAATTTTTGTTTTAAATAAATTGCTTAATTGGATCAACCACAGATACTGAAATTCAGTCGCAAAGATAGCACACACAGCTGCATCATGCAGTCTTAAAATTCCGAACCAACATTCATGAAAATCTGCATTGTCTTTTAGAATATCACACTAGAAAAATACAAATTGCTAAACAGAGGTGTAAGCAGAATGTTAAGGCTAAAATTCAGAGTAACTCACCAAATGATAAACATTAAAAATTAAGTAAAGTAAGCATTGCATTCTGTTTAAGTGGAGTCTTAACAAATACAATTTTCAGAGTTACAACTCATTAATAAATTCTGGAAGTTACAAGCACAGTATTTAGGGCTTATTCCTATGGTATGCAGACTGGTTCATGACAGGTGTAGTGTTTTCTTTGAGGTGAAAGAGAGTATTAAGCATCGCAAAGTAAAGAATTATGAAAAACCTTTGGGACCTCTGCCTAAATTTCTTTGCATTGGTGTCCTGGTTTTGGCTGGGATACAGTTAAATTTCTTCCTAGTGCTGTGTTTTGGATTTAGTATGAGAAGAATGTTGATAACACACTGATGTTTTAGTTGTTGCTAAGTAGTGCTTACATAATCAAGGACTTTTCAGCTTCCCATGCTCTGCCAGGTGCACAAGAAGCTGGGAGGGAGCATAGCCAGGACAGCTGACCGAACTGGCCAACGAGGTATTCCATACCATATGACGTCGTGCTCAGTCTATAAATAAGAGGTGTGGTCCAGGAAGCAGCGATCACTGTTGGGGCATTGCTTGGCGGGTGGTGAGCAATTGCATTGTGCATCACTCATTTTGTATATTCTACCATTATTATTATTTTGCCTTCCTTTTCTGTTCTATTAAACTGGTGGGGGGAGGAGGGAGTGAGCAAGCAGCTGTGTGGTGTTGGGCTGCCTGCTGGGTTAAACCACAACAATTGGTTCTGTACTTCAAAAGGACAGAGCAAAGGTAGAAAATTTTCAGGTTAATGAAAATAAGTTTACAGAAGCTTTGAAGAAATACAGCACATCATATAAATCAACAAATGTTTGTTTTATTTATTTTTAGACTTTAAAGATTTTCATGTCATAATTCCATTCTCTCCTTATTTTTGGCATATGCTTCTTGCTTAATGATGCAATTTAAGAAAAATACTTGCAAATAGTTTCTACTCCAGACGTCTACCAGTCCTATGTTGGAAAACATCCCAAACCTCTGAAATAAGGCATTCCCAAATCCAGTAAAAATCAGTTTCATGTATGGAAGAGGAAAACAGAGAAACAAAAAAACAGCTTTGGAAACAAGACAAAGGCCAGGAACCTTTTCTCCTCCGTTTAACAAGCTTCAACAGAGTAGCAAAAATTTCTTCATTGTTTTTGTCTAGACTTAAAACACTTTTTTAGTTGCTCAATTACTGCGCAGTCTACTTGTTTTGTTTGGTTAGATTGTCTGCTATATATTGTCATGTAATCACTCAGCCAAGTGAAAAATCCTCAGATTTACTTCACGGTGCCTTTAATTGCTTTTTTAAATTTATTTTTTAAATTAAGACTTTTCTTCAACTATTTGTTAATAATCAGATTTGAAAACACCATCCTACAAACAATATTCACTCTTTTAAAAAGAACTTAAAGATGTAACTTTTTTTTTTTTTTTAAATCTTCACCAGTATGCATCTCTATTTTTCCCATCCCAATATATTCTATTACCTTAATCAGGAATATTAAAATAGTTGCCTCTGGTTTAGCTTCCAAATTCCTGAGACATTGTTCTCGCTGCATATGCTCAGTAATGATCTGAACTTTACTCATCCCTTTTTCTTTGAAACCAGAAAATCAACAGTACACATAGCTCTAACAGGAGACTAGATTGCCTGAAGGCTGCTGCATACTAAATAACTGACCCTTGAACAAACAGTTCTTGTTTTGGGCTTTTTTTTTTTTTGAATGAAAATCCATTTGTTTCACAGAAACTCTATATGCAATAATTTACTTAAGTTTTTAGATCCGTAGTAGCCACTCAAGTAACACAGGCACACAGAAAGCATCTTTCAAAAGTTAGATTAAATTTAGATGCACAACTCCTAATTCATACCAAGTGAAACAGCTGAACATTACTTGTAAAACACATTGAACGGGCTCACTAAAATCTCTGTCAGGTTCAGCAACAGCAGAAGCACATTTCAAGATCACTTTATTTTCCCTGGAATTTGAAAAAAGATCCCAGTGTAAAGAGTTGAGATTAAGTTGCACTCCATGGTATGCGACTACTTCCATTCTGGTTTTAGGAAGCATATCCTAGATTTACAGTAATCAGTATCTGGCCCACTGTTTATAGTCATAAGGGAACCCACTGGTGTGTACTATGGCTCTTTTTCCTGCATACTCAGCTCCTCCTGTGGTAGACCTGACCAAAATGCACCTGAGGTTAGGAATGCATGGTGGGTGGCCCTTGCTCCATAGAGCTGACCATGGAAATGAACCGGCTGTAGCTCTTAAGAAAACTGAAAGTTATGCTACTTCCAAATTTTCTCCCAGATCAAAATAATAAAAGCAAGTTTTTTGTCCCAAATCATCATTTTTCTATACGCATACAAATAAAAATAGAAATATAGCTACAGAGAGAGATTCCAAACTGGTTAGAAGTTTTGAATGCATCTCAATGATGTTGAGCTTCCATCAATTGCCAGTTTTCCCCCACTGATACTTTTGTTGCACTGTTTTATTATCAAATAGTTTGAAGTGAATACCAAAGAAATAACATACCAGCATTTGTTTCCATCTGCAGACTTATTGTATGGTTTTAGGCAATGACTACATTCCCTGTGGAACATGAATGTATTGCTTATTTTCATTAATGCAAATGTTTCTCTAAAACTCCTAAATTTCTTTTAAATACAGACACCTCAAAGAAATCCCCAAGATTTGCTCACCTTTGAAGGAAACTGCATCTCAAAATTTTGCTTTAGTTTTTCATCACTATTCTGTATCCAAAAAGCCTAAAAATGAAGCAATGGATACATAATAACGGAAGTAAGCTTGATTCAGAGTTTTCTTTTGCAAAGCAGCTGCTAAAACAAAGGCTACTTTATGATAGTTGCCTGTTGGTACCTTAATTGCTAAAATAAAAACATACAAGCACTGCAACAAAGAAGGATTGCTTGTTTGTTTATTAACTAAAAATACTTCAAAACAACTGAGGAAAACCAAATATTAAACCTAAAAAGAGTAACAGCCCCAGAGGCTGAAATTGTAAAGTGAACTATTTTATAAATATAGAATTTTCTCATTTACTTTGAGTTAACCACGGCTCATGTTTGCTTACAGCCAACATATGTTGATATAAAAAAAAAAACCTGTCTCTCTTTTTTGTCATTTGCTCATTTTCTTGGACTATAGTAAATGACTTTGGTATCCATGCTATTAGAGAACAATTCAAGTAAGTGCAATCCGCATGAAAAATTACACCTCCAAGACCAAACTTTCCACAGCCAGAAAGGACAGGACAAAGACACATGGATTTATACTGCAGAGTAGGAAGAAGTAAGGTATGACTTCAAAAGACAAAGTTTTTATTAGAAAAATTAGTTGAAGTTATTCCTCCTTCCACCCCTTACTATTTGTTCCTGCCTATTATGCCTCAGTGCTTTAGAGCATGTTAAGAAAATTTTGTAACTTTAAGGATAATATACGATGCTTAGGAAAGACACAGACTATTCTCTTGCCATAAAAGGCTCTAGAATAGTTAGGCAAAATTCTTGTTAGAAATTATTTGGATAAAGTTGATCCTCAGAAAATGAAAAAGGTCCACTAAAGGACCTCTCAAGTTTCTCATTTCAATTAATAAGGTTTTTAGTTTTAACTGCTTCTCTGTATTCAAGTTTTCACAGTCTGAATAGTTGCAAGTCACTGTTTTATAGATCTAAAAAAAAAAAAGTAAATATGAAAAATAGTAAAAGAACCTTTAAAAAATTAAAATGTTCAGCTATCAATGATCTGAATATGTATAGATAATAGTGGGAAATCAAATTTTAATTTTTAGTTAAGAAAATCAGACAATATGCTTTGCATTATTCAGACCTTCTTTAGTCCAGCAGCAGCTTTTTTAATAGGTATATTTAGGGTACTGTTAGAAGGTTTTCAGAGTTTTTAGTCATGGAAGAAAAGTAAGCTATCTCCCTGACTTGTACTTTTAAGTCTCTTGTGAAAACTATAAGGGTACTACAATTCTTAGATGGCACTACTTATTTACTGTAACGTTGTTTAGCTTACTCAAAGCCTCCAGATATTTGACAAGTCATGAAAAGAAGAGCAAGCATTAATACATTCCCTTGAACTACAAGGTTCAATGTTGAACTACGATGTCCCTGGTTGTTTGATAACATTCTGGAATGCACAGAATTGCCCCAGGAAACTTATCTGAAATAAAAGTTCCAGGTTCAGACTGCTGCTTTAACATTTGAAAGAGGCAGTGTACACCTTAATAAAATTTTGACAGGTACAGAGTCTTTATAGTAGTCTGCGTGGTTTTCATAGAATCATAGAATAGTTTGGGTTGGAAGGGACCTTTAAAGGTCATCTAGTCC